AGTCGACCTCTTAATAGTGATTAGGCTTCTAATTAAATGTACAAGGACTAAACTGTCTCTACTTGAGTATGGGACGGAAAACCTTTAATAAGACTGCCACATAAGCTCATAACTTAACCAAGGTGAATTGACTAATCTACCCTTATTCAAATCACTCTAACAACTAATCTATCCTTCATACACTATCATTTGCTCCTTAATTAGCTGGTCCCATAAGCCATAACATTCCTCACTAACTGGTGTATGATGCATTTGTTTCAACTACAGGAGTGGGGCCAATTTATAGTTTTTCTTTTGATGATTGAGTGGTGGGGGTGGGGATAGGGGATGGATCGGCGTTGAGGAGGTAGCCAGTCTAATCACAAAATTAATTGAGTAATAGTAGTAGTAGAAAGAAGAGATCTAGTTAACTTAGAGAGTAGAGAAGAGTAGGTAGAATTGTCTTGAAATGAGATGATAATGATCAATGGGGTCTCATGTTTCATATAAAGACTAAGATACCAAGATTTGTTCCATCAACAACGCATCTAACTTCCAACTTGATGAGAATAATTTTTATGTAATCATCCTTTTGTATTAAAGTGTAAAAAGAATCCAACGCCAGTCCAGTCGAGAGAATAAAACAAACAAACAGACTCACATTTTTAATAAAGGGAGAAGGAGAGAGAGAGATTGAGATAGAAAGGTAGCCGTTATTATTTCTTTATTTCTTTTATTTTTTGATTTCTCAGTGGGAGCAACGTCAACGTAGCTGGCTGGTAGGGATGATAGCCCCACCGCTTTGGATGGAACATCCCCCCCCCCCTCTCTCTCTCTCTCTAAAATTTATACATTTATTATTATTTTTTTTCATTTGGTTGGTGTTGTCTATAAGTTTACTCGTGGAAAAATTATTTATTTTTAGGATGGATACTGTTAGTATGTTACAGCACAAGATGCCTTGGACGGGTCATGGATGAAAATAAAAACCCGAAAATCATACAAGTTGCAGTACGTTCCAGACAACCCATAAGACTGCTTTACAGCCCATAAACCCATTTTCAATGGAAATCTACCTCACTCTCCGTGTAATGTTACTTGTTTCTTCTCTTCTACTGCTGTTCTGCATTTGATGGCTTCTGCCTCTTCAATTTCAGTTTTTTCTTGCACGGTTCTCCTTTAAACATCATAACACTCATCTTCTTCCCCTTCTTACCTGAATTGATGGTTTTTAGGGAGGTAATCAATTCTTGGTTGTGTATGTGTGTGTGTCGGCGGAAGGTCACTTTCTGTCGGCATTGTCAGTATTCAACGATGACATATATTAGAGACGAAGATTTTTAATTAAATTATTCGAAGTACAATGGAGATGCTTTTGGCATTAGCACACCTGGGTTTTCTACAGTAACACCTCAGAAAGCAGAAGTTGTTGCAAGTTCAATTCGGTGCTGGCAATTCTACCTTGTTTTTTAATTGGGGACTTCAAAATTGGTTGTAATCACAAGAGGGCCTCATATATATATATTTTTTTTTTCGACGCCTAGACCCTTTTCTTAATCTGGGTATGTACTGGTTTCTTGACTGACCTGAAGTTTGTTTGGATCTGCTGGAGAGGATTCAAGATGGGAATGTGGGTAAATTTTGGTCTTGATGATGATGATGCCGTGATGGTAATTCCAAAACTGGCTGAACCATCTATCAGCGAATGAAGAAGAGATTTTCTGTACTTCTTTTGGCCTTCTTTGCATGGGAAGAGATTGCAGGTATGAAGTGTACAATCTGAACTTGAGGTTAGCTGATATTCGCGTTCATTTCTCTCCATCCTTTAGCTCAATTACAGTTTTATATTGGAATTCTTTATTTATTGGTTTCAAATGAAAATGCATCTCAGCACTGGATCTACAATATCGTTACATCGAACTTTGAGTGACAGAAACCGGCCTGAAAAATGAACTTATTGTCGAATTTTGGAATCTCATTTCCATCCTCTTACCCAAAAAAGGGAAAATTTGTGCTTAGTTCGTAGTTACGTAACTATGGTTGGTTGGTTGGTTGTCGAACTTGGTCTAGTGTTGCATGATTGATTTTCGTAATAGCATACCATATAAAATTTTATTTCCAGGTATATAATGTAATGTTGGCATAAGTCTTCCAAACACAGGAACCTTAAGTTGATTCTTGATCTGACCGTGCTTCAATGAGGATTGTGTTTTACCAGACAACGCGATCTGTTTGACGTTTGGTTTACTTACGTTGAATACGAAAGGCCTTTAGAGATGTAAAGATTCTAAATTATTTTATAATTCCACACTACCACCTCTGAACTCAGGTTGTATAACGATATTTTTGTTAATTCCTAATCCTTCACAACTCTAATGGCTTTTACTGATGCTTGCTTTTTCTATCCAGTGTTCTCTATTTACCTTCTTGTGTCCCATCTCTTCTGCTTATGTTGGTCTATATTCCCTTTATTTCAGGGTCAATGTGTAGGAATTCATATTACTAAGAACATACAGACGGTACTATTTCTTGTTGTTGAAGTGCTTCCCATACCAAATGTCAAGGACTCTTGCAGCATTGCTTGGAGCTGCTGCAGGGGCCGTGGCTTTGGTGGGAATAGTAATTATATTTCTATGGTTCTGCTTGTCTCGGGACAGGAATATTTCAAGAACTTCTGAGACAGGTTCCTCTGATCCATCTATTCAAGGTAGTCTGGAATTCTTTTTGAAGAGGTTATTGAATTTGATTGCACTCATTTACTTTGCAAGTAAAGATTTTATTGATCTTCATTTCATTTTCTTTTCTTTTTTAAATTCTGGTTACTGTCAGTAGGGAGAGTTGAGTTGCCTTTAACAGGGACATTTGGGTCTCTTCCACCTGATTCACGAGAAGCAAGGCGTTTCCTGATGGAAGAATTGGCTTTGGCTACAAAGGATTTTAACGATATAAATCTGATAGGAGAAGGAAAATTTGGGAAGGTTTATAAGGGTTTACTTCATGATGGGATGATTGTAGCCATCAAAAAACGAAATGGTTTACCTAGTCAGGAATTTTTTGAGGAGGTAATTGCAACATCTATTTCTCATAAAAGCTATATAAGCTTGAAAAGAAATCATTATTAATGATAAGCAGGTTGAAATATATACCTAAGACTGGGTTTCCTTTTTCTATCAGGTTCGGTATCTGTCATCTATTCGGCATCGGAATATTGTTAGCCTTCTTGGTTACTGCCAGGAAAATGATCAACAAATGATTATTTATGAGTATATACCCAATGGAAGTGTTTCCAGTCACCTATATGGTCTCTCTCTCTCTCTCTCTCTCTATCTATCTATCTATCTATCTATCTATCTATCTATCTATCTATCTATATATATCATCGCCATCCAAGCCTTATCCCAACCATATGGGGTTGGCTACATGAATCCTGTTTTTCCATTCCATTCTGTTTAATGTCATATCCTTTTTTTGTGGGTGGGTGGGTGGATGGTATATGTTATATTAAGTTATCAGATTCAGGTATAGTAAAGATAGTGAGTGGATAACTGACATGGCAGGATCAATACTGCAGGTCGATTCTATTTATATTAGCTTTTATTCTTTACCTATATGAAGGCATGTATTATCCAAATATACATGCTATGCATGTGGAAACATAATCTACGTATATGTTTCATGTATAAAATATTTTAGCACTCTTCAATTGGTATCCAAAACAATCTGTACTTCTATGATATACCATTCTATGCTTAACTATGGAACTGTTTTTGGTTTCTTCTTTTGCAGGGACAAGTCAGGTTTCCCGTGAGAAGCTAGAGTTCAAACATAGGCTTTCAATAGCTCTAGGTGCAGCTAAAGGTGATCCTCTGCAAAATCAGTGAGCATTGGTGGCTTTCCTGGTATTAGTTTTTGTTTCCTTAGTAAGATAAAATGTACAAAGATCTGTAATGGGTCCTGTAAGCCTCTTATAAACTAATATATCCTACAACATTCTTGTACATTTCCCAAAATATTTTGGAATCCTCTTTTCCTCCCCTTTTGAACTCCTAAATTTAATCCAGCTAGAAGGGGGGAAGGGGCTCTTTCAACTTTATTGTTAAAAAGGTAAGAAGACCCTTAACCTTACCCAATAAAATGCATAAAGACCTGATAATACCTCCAAATACCCAAGACATTCTAAGATAAGGATTGCCTGAATTATCATAATATAATTAGCATGCACATGTGGGGTTTTTGTTAGTCTGTAAAATTTCATTAGTTTGTGAATTATTGGCCTATCTGAATTCATGGAATACTTGGAGTGATCTCCTTAATCCTCAAAGTATCCCATATCTATTTTCCAGTGATTATTGATTGTATGATCTCCATTTTTTTTCTGCAGGGTTGTCCCACCTCCATGCTCTAAGCCCTCGTTTGATTCACAAGGGTTTTAAAACAGTCAATGTTCTTGTAGATGAAAATTTCATAGCTAAGGTTGCAGATGCAGGGCTCTACAACTTACTTGCTAGAGTTGACGTTGCAGGTTCATCTTTTGGAATAATGGCAGATGATGCATTCCTTGCCCCAGAGTATGAATTATTTAGAACCATTTTATATAACATTTGAATATCACAAATATCTCTGTATTTGAGGTGTTCTTAAGATAGTGTAATATAACCAAAAATACTATCTTTGGTAACCAAGTAATGCTAGGAAGCAACCTAAAGGCAAACCTCCTTTTGCATTGCACTTGAAAGGAAAAAGAAAAAAGGTTATCTTGTGACAGGGCCTCTTGCCATCCAAGTGGCTGCTGCAACCATGTTGGATTATCAAAAGGTCACTCACTTCCTTTGTCCTATAAGATGGTGGCAGAGTCAGTGACACTAATGAATTTTCTGTTTCTTCCTGATATTTCTCTAAGGTATGATATTACTATTTTACATATCATGTAACTTGGCAAACTTGGATATCTTGTTAACAAGGAACATGACTCAAGATAAGCCACCACCCATGCCAACTCAGACTCAAAAGCTGAAATCTTACTTAGGGATTTTAAACTAGAAGAGTAACAAAACTTTGCTAGTTTCTTTTGTTTGATATTTATTGTTTAGCAGTATCTGTACTTTTAGATGTACTATTAAAAATAGGAGGTTATATGCAGTCACTATTTCTGGCTATGCATTCTAACTTGTTTATCCATATTTTATTTACTTGTGTAGGGTGAGAGAGTTCAGAAGATTCTCAGAAAAAAGTGATGTCTACAGCTTTGCAGTGTTCCTACTGGAATTAGTAAGCGGGCATGAAGCTATGAAATCACAGTCCTCAGAATCGGGTGAAAACATTGTTGAATGGGTAATTAACCTTCTTGACACCACCTATAATCAGATGATTCTACTATCCAAGATATAGACTTGTCCTGAAAATGTTTACATCCCAAGTAGGAGGATTATTGATTCCTTTATGTGATGGAAGTAATCCTCATAGTCATGGACAGAGATGGATTTGTGAATATGTTGGTTCTCCTTTTTGTACTTTAGTCAGTAGATGCTATTTCTTCTAAAATTCTATGTATTCTTACAGCATTAGTGGGACTTTGGCCATAAAAATAAAATCAGAGCATGGACTTAATACCTATTGATCAGCTTCTTTTTAGGTAACCTGATAGTACCTTTTATTTGATTTTCTTCCTATTGCTTCTGCCTTGCAGGCACGAAACTATGATGATTCCAGTAATATTTCCACCATTATTGATCCCAGATTGGGCAATAGTTTCACAACTGAAGGCATGAAAGAGTTTATACAATTGACTGTCCGTTGTCTAGACCATTCTAGTGAGAGGAGGCCAAGCATGAACTTTGTGGTAGGGGAACTTGATCGAATACTTGAAAAAGAAATGAGCTTGACAACAATCATGGGAGAAGGCACCACAACGGTGACTCTTGGGAGTCACCTATTTACAGCAACCAGATAAGCAATATGATATAGCTGACCCTTGGATATATTATACAATTGCTTGTGTGTTCTTTCTTCTCTTTTGCCCTCTTTTTTTTCAATTTTAATGTAGAGTAGAACATTCAGCTGTTAGATAATTGTATAAAAGAACAGCTGTTCTATTGTTGTTGTTGATGTTGTTTTAATTTTTTTCACATAATTGTTCGAGACATCATTCTGTAAAACATTATTTGTTAATACCATACTGAAGGTGGGGATGGGTGTGATTTTAGATACATTAACAAGTGGATGCTTCAATTTGGAGAAAAGAGGTGATATATAAAGTTTTATTAATACACTACAACAAAGTAGAGCTATAGTGGTGGATTTTCTAGTGGAAGTAAATTTATCCACCACTATATAACCCTTTTAGCAGAAAATCATAATAACTACCTCTAATGCTTTACACAAAAGCCGTTACCTTACAGTGACAGTCATATATTTGCCTCTATTGACATACTTTTCTCATTGATTATATAATTTTTATTTTGATTTTATCTCAATGGTTAAGATTAAACTAAAATGAAGATTTAAGTTTAATGAAAATGAAAAACAGAAAAAAGGGGTAAAAGAACTTTAAAAGGATGCGAGCAACTTTCCCATGCGGGTTCAACCTTGTGTTTAGCCTCTCAACAAAAATAAAGAATGAAAGAGACCTACGAACCAGGTAGGGCTCTTATTCTTATTCTTTACATGCAAGTTAACAATCTATGCTATTGTAGGGCAGTGCTATTGCAGGGCAGATCTAGAGGGATGAATCAACAAAATGACGATGTTGGAGATCTACGTAAGTTAATCTAGCAATGCTATTGCAAGGCAGTTCTGGAGGGATGAATCAACTAAAGGAACGGAATTTAGTTCGGAGAGATCATAGGTAAATATTGCCCCTTTTGTGTTTGAATTGGGTTTGGTTCATTTTTTCTCAGTTTGGTTGATGCGCGGACAGAATAATGTTTACACTACTTTGCCTGAGAAATAGAAATAGCAATATTGGTTCATGATGTAAATTTATCCATGGTTCATTTTCTCTTATTTGGTTCTGTTTTGAAGGTTAGTGACATGGTAATTAAGAAGTTGGTAACCAAACCTTTGGCACCTTACTTGAACTACTCATTCAGGTTGATCCCAAGAGCTGCAAATAGTATAGCTAGTGGTTTAACTGGAGGTGTTTCCAAAGACATTTTAGTTTGGGGTGTTCCTGGTGCAGGGGAATTCTTGTGACTGTTTTCTATTGATTATTTGATGTAGATGATAGATTAAGTGGGCTTCAGTTGGAGTGCAATGCTTCCTGTTTACTGTGTTTTTGTTTTTGTATTCCTGTTTATCTTACTATTAATAACATTACAGTTTCTTTTCTTATCAAAAGCAAAAAAAACAAAAAAAAAATGATTGTTGAAGATTGCTGGGAACATGCTATCTCCAGAACTTCGTAGATCCCTTTTCTGTGTAGAAAAGGTAATACCTAATATTGGTCCCAGACTCCCAGCTATCTGGGGTTTTGGGAGGCGTGAACTGGATACAGACATAATCTTTGGTATTTTTTGGGAAAAAAAAAAAGTTGTTTTTAGACTTGAACACATTTCTCATGTGTGCAGACTGAAGTAGACCAAGTTTCTAGCTTAGTCCAGATTGAACCACACTTCAATCTAAAAGTAAATAGGAAATTTTGCAAAGAAGCACTTCTGCTGCATTGTACTAAAAATAGTATAAGAATTCCAGGTTTTTAGCACAGACAGAATCATTCAGAGATGGAATGTAGTGATCATTGACACGTGCTAGTTTTTTATGTCTTTAACTATCAACTATATCCAAACTGTAGGTCTTTCTATCATGCAGAAAATTTATATTTGTCTTCACTGGACCCAAACCTGGATTCTAGTCTTATTTTATCTTTGTAGTCTTGAAATCATATTCACTATTTTTGTGGTAGAAATATAGAGCATTCTCTAGTTGAGAAACAGATTTCACCTCAGGTGTTTCCCATATTCCTCTATGCTGGACCTAGCTCTTCTCAGTTTTCATATAATTCTCTTATTTATTTATTTATGTTTAGACAGAAAAACTGGTCAATAATCAGCGGTTAAACTTCCGAAGAGGAGATTTAATCACAGATCTAGGTTATGAACTCCCCCAGCCAATATATGTTTACAATTAATAAGTTTCTGCTCAATGCTATTCATTAATCCCTAGAAGGATCTACCAGATTTAGGGGGGCCGGGGAGGGGGGGGCTTATTTGGGGTCAGGCCAAATAAGAAGGTAAGGAAGACAGAGAGTGAGCAAGAGAAGAAAAGACAATCCTATTATAGTCACTAGAGATGTTGAGTAATCAGGCAAGTGTAGAATAGTTTTCCTTGTTGGAGTTTTTGTTCTTTGGGTGTAGGGTCTTGTTTCAGTGGTTAAGACTGATTTTGGAAGATTGGGTGGCTAGGGAGTTTGCTTTACGAGTTGTGGGTGAGTAGCATTTTGGTGTATGTGGTGGGATTTTGTTTTATTTAGGTCTGGAAGTTCTGTTTTTGTTTTCTTTGGTTTTGGAGAGTTTAGTCCAAAGAATAGAGGGAGGGAATGGTGTGAGGGTTCTTCTTCTTTTTTGGGTGATTCCTTATCACCTGTATTGTAATCTCTCTCTTTCTATCTTTATAAATTTTCTTTTAATTTACTGCCAGAAAGAAGTTTCATGAACAATGTCCCCCATCCCCCAAGCATGGGATCTTCTTTTTTAAAAAAAAAAAAAAGAAAAGAGAAAATTTATTAATCAAAAGATGGGGGGGGACATAGACCTTACCCCTCAAAGAACCAATACATTTAAGCATAAAATCCTACAGGATATACAATTAAAAAAAACTCAGGTCGAATATAGTGGATGATATCCTTTATTTGGCCTTGATGATTTATGCACTGGAGCCAGGGACTTACGTAAATCTTGTTCCTTTTTGGATTTGCAACCCCTCTTCTTCCTTTGAATAGTAATGAAGCCGTGATCTAGACTGTGATCCTCTACCTCACTCTTGTTTGGTTCATCATCCATCCTAGCATCTATTTCACCAGAGGGAGCCTCTTACTCTACAATTTGAGTTTCCGAACCTGTTGGAAGGTTGAATTTCCACACTATTTCATTTCATAATGGCGCACGCCTAGCACCAAGACACTTTTTGGATCATAGCACTAAAATTTCTCAACTCCGTGAGATCTATTTTTCTTCCTTATTGAGGTTTGTTGTCGATTGTAGCCACAACAGTCATCTTTTCACAAGCATTTGGATTAGAGTTTAGTGGGAACTCTTGTGAACCCAGATTAGAGATTTCTTGACCACCTATTCCCTGCTTAGGATTAGCATTTCTTGAACTAAGCATGGGATCTATTTTGTAAGAGTAAGATGTTAAATTTTCATGTCACAACTAATTATTATTCATAGAACACAGTGTAACAGTTTGGATTCATGAGTTTAGTGGTTAGTGGTTTCATGTTGATTTCCCATTATTTGTTCTTTTAGAAAAAAGATGAGTACTTGTTTATATTTTAAAATTTGACTTGACTTTTTATTGTCCGTCCTTAGCTCTTTGGATTTAGAATTATAAGGAATTTTCAGTAGTTAAAAATTTAAAAGCATGTCAGACCCCACCCTCATTCTTAATTGCTATTCATTGTAGATATAACTTTTGTACCCACTAAAAAGTGGAGCACTATTCTCATGCTTGTCAGCCCAAGATACCATTTCACCAAGTAATGATCCCTAAAACATTCCCCCTTCACTATTTTCTCCTTCTTTAGCCAAAGAATTAAGTAGGGAAATGGGAGATCTTTGGATCCACCTAAACAAGATACTTAGGTTGGAAGCCAATGATTTAGCCTCCCTTGGATCCTGAGAATGAGGGAAAGGACTAGATGCAGGACCTGTTATCTACCCAATCTAGTTTGCAAGCCCCCTTCTCCCCACCTCCTATCAATGCAGCATGCAGGAAAAGGGGAAAGATATTACTGTTTTTATTTTCATGAAGATTTTTGGTCTTACCGTGTGCAGGGGAACTTATTATGTCCAGCTTAACATGAACTATGTAACACCATATCAGCACCCATCCTTGGTCAATGTCCCAGTTCATGTAATTTCAATGGAGATTGTATTGAGGGAACGTGCCACTGCTTTCTATGGTTCTCATCCTTGGTCTTGAATTGAAATGAAGGTAAAACATGTGGTGTCACAACCTTGTGGTCATAACTCATAAGTTTTACTTGACCTTACCTACAGAAAATTTTGAACCATGTGGTGTCATAACCATGTCACAACCATGTGGTGTAATTATTATTCCTCAATTATGATAATACCATTACATAATTTTAGAAAATTATTACATCCACCATGTTATCTTCCGTCATTCAGACCATACATGCATGGGCTTTATGACAGTATTGTACTTTTCAGATCTTACCTGGACTCTTTTATTTGCAGGATCCTGTCCAGATTATTGCAATGGACATGGAAAGTGTCTTCCTAATGGGAGTATGCAAGCCTGAAAATGGGCGTGCAGGCATTGACTGTTCTACAGGTAATGTGCCCCCTGTTCTGAAATTGACTTGGCGTCTTTTGGCAGGTAATGCCACTGATTTGTTTACTATAATATTCAAATCCACTGGCTGCCTTGCTGCTAGTTCACATTCCACCATATCTGGGTTTAGAACCAACAGATTACAGATGGATTAAGTTTCTGTGTTACAGATTTGACCTACTGAATTGGTAAAGGCCACCTTTGCTAGGTTACTGACCACAATTCAAACTCTCAGATGACCCTAAGGCTGCGTTTGGAAATGATGCAAATGGAGTGTAAATCCCAGTTCAGGGTAAATTTGCACTCTGGTTCACTTTTGCCTGTGTTTGGCAACATTACATTTATGCATTGAAAAATGACAGACCAATGCATATTTACATTGATAATAAGATGTAAAAGTAAATCAATAAAAAAGAAGTAAATTTGCATTCAAGTGGGCTTATGATAAAAAAAAGCATATGCTTTATTGAAATTCATGTTTGCATTCATTAAAGCTAAAAGTCTGTTTGGTAAGAAGGTAAATTTGTCAGTGCAAAACTAACCCAACTTTGCAATTGATATGAACCATTTTACACTCTACATATTTGCATTGTTTCCAAACGCAGCCTAAGATTCAAATACATGATTAAGATGGACATATCTGATAGAGTTAGTAATGTAACTCTCCAATGATGGTACAAATCCAGGACATATGATATTGGGGAACTTACCAATAATGAGAGAATATTGGAGAAAGAAAGAATTTTGTAAAAATTAGAAACTCTTGATTATGCATTACTTGTTTCCTTTTACAACTTGTATTATTGGATCCTAGAAGGATTCGATCTTGGTATTCTCCGATTACTATAAATAATATTCTTGAGTTGTGAGTTGTCTTTGTTGCTCCCACTCTTCTTCACGCCTTCCTCTTACTCTCTTACTTTTCACAAATGTTTTCTGGTATCGGAGCATGTTGACTCTGCTTCAGTAACCAAATCCCATGGAGGCAAAGAATTCAACCATTCTCTCCCTTAAACACTTTCATCAAATGGCTAATTTGGTTTCAATCAAACTGAGCAAAACCGATTTTCTTATATGGCGGTCTAAAGTCATGCCCTTAATTAGAGGAACATCATTTTGATGAGGAGAAACCGAAGGAAGATGACAGGGATCAAGCACTGAGATAGCTGCTTGGGAGCATAATGATAACATGCTTTTTGTAACTGGCTCCTTGGGACTATGACTGAAGTTGTCACCCTTGTTGTTGGGTGTGGGACAGGCAAGCAGATATGGAAGCATCTTGAAGACTATTTACTACAGAAAGAGACATGCTTCTCAAGGACAAATTCAGAACACTTCAAAAAGGCTCCTTGTCGCTTGAGGAATACACAAGTAAGTTTTAAGAACCTGAGTGATAGTCTTGATGCTATTCAACAACCTTTTCTTAAACAAGAAACATTTTTTCCAATATTCCTGAGGATTGGGACCCAAGTATAACATGTTGCATATCACAATGTTGTCTCAGGCCCCATATCCTCCACTTGATCAGAGAGTGTCCAAGGGTATAAAGAGCAGAGCAGATGAAGCTATAGGAAGGAAGAAGAACTTAGCAAGCCCATGAATCATGAGGATGTCTTCTATTCTCAAAGAGGACAAGGAAGATGCCGCGACAACAATGGTGGTGGTTGTGGTAGGGGTCAGGGTCAGGATCAAAATTTTAACTCTCAAGGAAGAGGCTTTGTACCAGCAAGGCAGCGAGCAATGTCCAGCCGAATGCTTTAGCCGTTCAGCGGGCTGTGGAACCAATGATGTGGTTCCACGCCACGCCAGTAATAAATTCATGGGCTCCACTAACAGCTAAAGCATTTAGCTGATCCGAATTTCAAGGCAGCAACCAATTACAATAAAGGAGGAGGTCGTGGGTTTGGGCCTACCAACAATGGGCAAGCCTCATTTACCCAACAACGAAATCAGTTTTAGAGTAGTAACCTACATACCCGATGCCAGATTTGCAGCTGCTCTGAAAAGTAAGAGTGTAAGAAGAAGGCGTGAAGAAGAGTGCGAGTAACCGCGTAAGACGACTGACCACTCAAGAATATTATTTATAATAATTGGCCACTCAAGAATATTATTTATAATAATTGGAGAATACAAAAGGATGCAATAACACAAGCTGCGAAAGGAAACAAATAATGCATCATCAATAGTTTCTGTTTTTTACAAAATTCTTCTCATTCTTCAATATTCTCTCATTATTGGCAAGGTTCAAAGTATCGACATGTATCGGCCCGTATTGGCCGATACATATTGTTCCGGGACCCCTTCGATACACCCCTATAGTGGGTGTATTGGGGGTTGGTTCAGGAGGTGAAAGAGCCCTAAACCGGCCCCCCTGAACCAATTTTGAAAAAAAATAAAAAAAAAAAGCAAAAAAGGGTATCGATTCACCTGAGCGGGTGTATTGATATTTTGAACCTTGATTATTGGTAAGTTTCCAAATATCAGACGTCCTAGATTCGTGCCATTCTTGGAGAGTTGAGTTCCTAGCTCCATCAATATCTACATGTTTCATTGTGTTTATGGTTATCAAGGATGTTTTCCACTGATATGGCTGCCATTCACAGGAGGCTGAGACATATGTGTTTTCACTCCTTACCAGTCTGACTGAAGACTGGTATGTGGTAGATGCTTGGAACTTTCCGCCTAGAATTCTTTCGGTTTGGGTTAAAAGATGGGGGAATAATTTGTTGGGCACTACATCTCAACCCGAGCTGTACTTTGTAGTATTTGGTAAGCTAAAATGGCATCAGACCCGAGGGCTGGTTCATTGGTATGTTAGTTGATTTGTTCCAGCGCTGATGCGGAATTAAATCCACTTTGGGGGGAGTAGCATCCATCTGTGATTTATTTATCATTCATCAAACTCACAACCATTGTAGAGAGAGAGAGAAGATCCAGCATGCCATTCATCTGCCTGGTGCCTGGTGGAAGAAGACTGGGTTGGCTACTGACGGTTGCATTGCGTTTATTCCTTTAAGCAATTTAATATGGACTTGTATTTCTTTTTATAAGGGAATAAATAGAGAAAATATAGATACATACTTTTTATTGTGTCTTTGTTTATTCTTTCAATAGTCTTTTCTAGTGCAACAATCAAGAGAATTTTGAATTTTTATGTTTCATCCTGACACTAACACTACTTCTGATTGGATATGTGGAATTTCTAGAGAAGACTGGACATGAATTATGCACTGATATTTTAGTTAAATTTTAGAAATTGCGAAAAAAATTCATTCAGTTTCTAAATTCTCAAATTTCAAGTAATTTAAAACCTTTATCATATTTCTCATATTTCATTGCTTCTCGAGAAAAAAAAAAAAGGAGATAATTAACAGAGCAATTAACAAACGACGGTGAGATCTTAGATGAACTGAAAGTTACTTATTAGTGGGTTCTATTATGGGCTTCGGCACTGATTATGAGCTTCTCGTATTCCCATCCTGTCTCGAGTTTAAAGTTTAAACTGCATCCATTAGATTTCAAGAAGCTACTAAATGCCCGTTTGGGAGGATTTTCATGAAGGTGTTACATCATACATGAGCTAACAAACCTGGAACGGAGAGCTATGAACTCATGTTAGGTGAAATAAAAAGGAAATTTTCCAATTAATACTCTGTACTTTGGGTGTAGTGGTATTTGAAAAAGACACACACGTCCTTCAAGTGTCATTTAATTTTGTTTATCAACCATCTAAACATTGACAAAAAAAAATTAACAATCATAAATCTTTACCTCTTCCATTCAAGCAAGTTAGGGTTACATTTGAGTGGGCATTCTGATGACCCCAAATTTCTTGAATAGAAGAGGCAAGGATTTGGGACTGTTAATTTTTTGTCAATGTTTGGATAGTTGATAAAGAAAATTAGATGACACTCGAAGGGCATTTGTGTATTTTTCAAATGCCACTTAACAGCTGGTTAACAATAACTTAACAACATGTACTAGATTGTCACGCTTTAAAAGTTCAAGTATTGAACTATCGCATTTTAAAGTTTAGGGACCAAAGTGATATTAAGCCCGAAGTAAAGGGTACTAATCAGGAATTTTCCCAAAAAAAAATGAAAAGCCAAAATTTTCAGTAAAAAGTAGGATTTTGGGTTTAATGAAAATATATCATGGCTTTCTAGGTTTTTTCACAAATACAGCTATAGGCTGGTTTTCTGTGTGAGGCCCCACCTTGCAAAGCCAGAAGCAAACGGGTAAAATCCCTCCCAAATAGTCACTTGGGGTTGGAGCCTGCACGCAGCTACTGAGACCTTGGGAGCTCAACTCAATAGCTCATGGAATGGAAGGTTATCTTCTTACCTCACTTACCTCTTTGTCCTTTCGTCTCATCTGTTGCAGGGTTGTCATGCACTTGAAATCTACAACTAAGGCCCTGTTTGCTTTCATAAATTATTTATTTGGGTAAATGCAATGTTCAAAATATCGATATGCCCGGTACGCTGGTATGGGCATATTGGGCAAATCGATACTGTTTTTTTTTTTTTTTTTGAAACTGGTTCAGGGGGGGCAATTTAGGTCTCCTCCATCCCCTGAACCGGTCAGACCCCTGATACACCCACTATAGGGGCATATCGGAGGGGTCCCGGAACGATACGTATTGGCCGATACGTGTCAATACTTTGAACCTTGGGTAAATGTATTTATCTACCCCAAAACATTTATTTAGGTAAGTGCATCTATCCATGTTCTTTTATTTCTTATATAAATAAGACAATGACCATTCTAGTCATAAAAATCCATTTCTCATCTAAGTATTGGCAACTTTCCCCATTACGTAAAAGTTATTTACATTTGAAAATTAAATTTCCTTAATCCCACACAAATCTGAAAAAAAAAACTGGGTTTTATGTTCAAATGTATACAATTCTATTGACCAATTTTCCCCTCTCTCAAAAAAAAAAAAAAATTGAATACCCCCTAAAGCTGCGTTTGGAAGTGCTGGAAAATGTCATCGATGTAAAAATTCATTGATGATGTTTTACACTAAACCATAAAAAAAAAATTACCATTGAGTTTCAAAAGCATGGGGTTTTTATATTGATTTTATTGGCGTAGTATCTATATCGATAATCAATGTAAAACTTTAATTTAGATGAGGTTTAAAATTGATTTACAACGTAAAACTCCACTCCATCCAAATGCTGACAATTCTAAACTGGAGTGGAGTTTCACATCGACCTTGATTTACACTCCATCAAATGTCGACAAAAACCAAACCCACATAAACTTTTACATCGATGACGTTTTACATCACTTCCAAACGCAGCCTAAGTGCCAATCATCCCAAACTAACCGTATGATGATAGATGGATGGCGATAAGAAGGTTAAACCCTCTGATGTTCTTACTACTACTCGTGTGGACTAGCTATAGCGTAGAGATATCTCTCCCCACCCCTTCCCTCTTCTTTTTATCTTTTTACTTCATAGCTCCCGCTGTGGCGCTGTCTGGTTCGGATGGTTCCAAAATTCATCGAGTTGCCTCGGTGTCGGGCGAGTTGACAGGACTCAACTAGCATTAACGTTACAAACTCGGAAAAATCAGCTCAACTATAATGACCGCTTGAGTCGAGTCCGAGTTTTATTTGTTAAACCTTAAACGTTAAAACACCGGGTCCTGATCTTGATCTAGTTTGTTTGTTGTTATTAGTTATTAACCGGTATTTCATTGCAGACGGGAAAGGAAAGACATCACACTAGTAGTTATTTTTCTGAGTCTCCGAGTTTGGACTCGGCGAAAATGATGCCGCCGGAGCTTCAACCTCGAATCCACCGCCCCTACATCTCGACCTCCGCCAGCGCGCCCACCTTCTCCTCCTTCAATGCCGGTGGATTCTCACCAGACCGCAGCTCTAACCCAAGCAGTAACAGAAGTAGCAGCAGCAGCATCAGATCCCTGAATAACCCTCGCTTCTCTCCTTCCTTCATCCATAACCCTCGAATCGCTCTCGCCCTCGTCCCATGCGCTGCCTTTCTCCTTGACCTCGGCGGAACTCCGGTCGCCGCTGTCCTAACCCTAGGACTCATGATCGCTTACATCCTTGACTCCCTCGCCTTCAAATCCGCTTCCTTCTTCTCAATCTGGCTCTCCCTCGTTGCATCCCAGCTGGCCTTCTTCTTCAGTTCCTCTCTCTTCTCCACCTTCACCTCCTTCCCTCTCGCCTTCCTCGCTGCCTTCCTCTGCGCACTGACCAACTTCATGATCGGAACCTGGTCCTCCCTCCAGTTCAAATGGATCCAGATCGAATATCCTTCCATCGTCCTCTCTCTCGAGCGACTCCTGTTTGCTTGCGTTCCCATCGTTGCTTCGGTCCTCTTCACGTGGGCTAGCATCTTGGCAGTCGGCATGAGCAACGCCTCCTACTATCTTATGATCTTCGACTGTGTCTTCTACTGGTTGTTCTCGATTCCTCGCATGTCGTCCTTCAAATCGAAGCAAGACATTGGTTACCATGGCGGAGAGCTCCCCGATGAAACTCTGATTCTAAGCCCCCTTGAAAGCTGTATCCATACTTTGTATCTCCTCTTCTTCCCTCTGCTCTTCCACATTGCCTCCCACCGCGCAGTCATCTTCTCCTCGGCAAATTCGGTCTGTGATTTGTTTCTTCTGTTCTTTGTTCCGTTCTTGTTCTTGCTCTACGCCTCGACGAGAGGCGCATTGTGGTGGGTCACGAAGAATGCGTCGCAGCTGCATAGCATTCGGGTCGTAAACGGTGCGGTTGCACTGGTGGTGGTTGTGATTTGTTTGGAGGTTCGGGTTGTTTTCCATTCGTTCAGCCGCTACATTCAGGTACCCCCGCCTCTAAATTTTCTTCTTGTAACGATTACGATGCTGGGCGGTGCTGCTGCATCTGGGGCTTATGCAGTTGGTGTGGTTGGTGATTGGTTCAGTTCAGTCGTGTTCACGGTTTTGTCTGTCTTAGTCAGTGCAGCCGGGGCGATCGTTGTGGGCTTCCCTTTATTGGTATGCTACTGTATCTGTGGCTTATAGTTATAAAAACTCATGTGCCATCTTGTTTAGGTCCAATGGCTTTTAAAACCCAATCTGTGGCTAATAGCTATAAAACTCATGTGCTATCTGTTAGTATAATTGCTAAATGTCCCCACAGTTTAGTTCTTTTGTCTGTTGGACATTCCCAAAAGCTGGTTTAGAATTGTAGCATCGGGATCAATGGAGAATTAGAGCCTAAACTTTCAACATAGAAAGGTCCTTAACTTGAAAGTTATAACCACTGGTCAGTGCAAGTTAACATATGTGAAATGGTTGCTTCCCAAATTTCCTATGTATATTACCTTACAAGAGTCACTGGAACTTTTAACCTTTGGTTAGTCTTGGGTTTGCTAGCGAAAATTAAAGTGAGTATGTATAGCTAGAATGAGCAACCTACACACTGTATATGACGGGATATTTCTATGTTCCTTAAGTAATTTCAAGATGGAGATATGGAAACTTGAACGCCAACACTCTTGCGTGAAAGTGAGTGTTCTACTGGTTAAGCTACCCAATTTTCTTCTAATTGCTTAATAACCATTATTTTTTATAAATCAACAGTAGCCACTCGACCAATTCAGCCTTAATTCCACCTACTTGGGGCTGGCTTGTCCTGCCATGAGCTCTATCAAGAGCCATGTTCTGTCAAATTGCAAGTCTTTAAATCATTTTTAGATCTTCATACCACATGTTCTTTGGTCTTTCCCTTGCTCTTTTAGAGACTTTTAGGCTGCGTTTGGAAACGATGCAAATGGAGTGTAAATCCCGGTTCAGGGTAAATTTGCACTCTGGTTCACTTTTGCCTGTGTTTGGCGACATTACATTTATGCATTGACAAATGGCAGATCAATGCATATTTACATTGATAATAAGATGTAAAAGTACATCAATAAAAAAGAAGTAAATTTGCATTCAAGTGGGCTTTTGATAAAAAAAGCATAATCTTTACTGGAATTCAAGTTTGCATCCATTATAGCTAAAAGTCTGTTTGGTAAGAAGGTAAATTTGTTAGTGCAAAACTAACCCATTTTTGCAATTTATGTGAACCGTTTTACACTCTACATATTTGCATTTGCACTTATTTGCATCGTTTCCAAACGCAACCTTAGTTGCATCAATTCATTCCTTCTCATGGTTGCAATTATTTGTCATCTATATACAAACCATCTCAGATGACTTTCTCTCATCTGTCACTAATTGGAGCTACTCCTGAGTTTCTCATTTCCACTCATCCATGTCAACATCTTTATCTTAGCTATACTTAATTTTCTAAACAATCCAAATAGTGGCAATCATTTATTTTCTTAATTTTAATTTCTATTACACTTATATAAATTTTATAGCTGTGTCCCTGTATTGGGATTTTTAGAGGTTAATGTGTCAGATACCTCTTGACACCTGGATCTGGTGCTTGTGTGCCAAGACAAAGCTAGGCGACTGGGGAGTGCACCTAGGTAATGGGTTCTAAGAATATTCCCTAAATCCTAGGTTATTTTCCTATTTTGACAATTAGGAATAGTGTTCATCAAATAACTAAAAATTTGATATCAAAACATAGAAAATCATCACATTCATCAAATAACCACCAAGAAACACCAGGTGGTTCAAAATGAAATAAAAAATCCTAGTGGTAAGAGAGCAAAAGATGGCTATGGTGTTTATGATAGGTGAAGCAATTGTTTGTTTCAAAAGTTTCTTGATTGGAGCAATTGATACATGGCTCAGATCTCCTACAAGCAAAAACCCTGTTCACATAGCATCCAACCATACATTAGGAATATCATCCGTACATGTATGTTAAATTCATGGGGAGATGTTTCCAATGTGTGGTGGGATTCACATGTTTTCACAGTATGTGCAGAGTTTTGGCTGGTAGGGAATCCCATTTTATCGATACAAGAAGGGATTTAGAATGGAAGAGCATGAAAGTGTTAGAAGATCAGAGGTATGTTGCAGAAAGAAAGAAGAATGGTTAGGGGGGCCTTATTTCCCTCTATGGATATTTTATCGGTACAAGGAGGGCTTTATTGCCCTCTATTGCCCTTTGAGAGTCTTGGGCTTGCCTTTTCATTTTTGGAGGCAAGAGACTTCGTTTGCCCTTTGAGACTTTGTTTGCATGTAAGATTTAGATTCAATGGCCATATAGTTGGATGGTGTGAGACTTGAAGACATTCCTTGGAAAATAGAGATATTTTCAGAGGAAAAAATGTTCTTTGTAGGTTGGTGACCTCCATTGAAACAACCTTGTGGAAGGAGGGACACAGGGGAGAGGAAGATGAGAGGGTGGAGACTAGGGGTGAGCAAGAAAAACCAAAAAAACAAAACGACTGGTTAACTGATTGAACCGGTTAACTGATTGGCTTTGGTTACCGATTTTCCAAAAACTGGTACCACCAGTTCGGTTAACCAAACTGTGAGCACCCCTAGTGGAGACTGAGGCACTACATGGCAGAGGTGGATTGGTAAATTCAAATAGTAATAGACCCTACATGGATTTGGGGGAGCAAGGAATGGGATTAGCAAAAGGCATGGGTAGAGTTTCCAATTTTGGAATTAATTCCGAAGGAGGGGAAGATAGGGCAAGTCATTCACACTAGTGGTAATAATGGGGACAAGGGTTTGAAAAATGGAAGTGACATGGGGAATGCAAAAGGTCAGGTAAGAGCTTGTGAACCAACTCGAGATGAGCTAGTTGATCTGGTGGGCCAAATAAATACTTGTGACCATTTAAGTAGTCATGTGGGAGGGTAATGGAGTTGGGACTTCAAATCAAAATTTGTGTCCTAGGCATGTGATGTTTAATCTATTTGGGTGAGTGGTAGACCATTAGTTTGGACCTATCATCATCTTTGTTGGAGTTGGATGAAGGAAATGGAGGGATTGTAACAAAAAACAGGCCCTTATCGAGTCAAGACTTCAAATCAAATTTTTAGTCCTAGGTGTCTGATGTTGAATCTATTTGGGCGAGCGGTAGACCTTAGTTTGGGCCTATCCAAGGTTTAAAATTTCGCAATGTATCGGTTCGTATCGGCCGATACGTTGCGTTTCGTTGAAGATCCGATACACGGAACATACAAATTCTATATGTTTTGTGTATTTTTCATAAGTATCGGTCTGATACGGGGCCGTATCGGTCTGATACGGGGCCGTATCGGTCCGTTTTGGGTCTGTATCGGCCGATACAATCCTGATATAGTCTGATACACTGTATGTATCGACCAATACAAATCGAAATTCAAATTTGAATTTAATGATCTTAATAATTTATTTTCCCTCCTTCTCTCTTAATATTAGTAACTCAAATTCAAATTTAATGGCTCTTAATTAATTATCACATTTAATAACATGCTATTAAAGGCAAATTGAATAGTGCATTTAAGGCAATGTTCAAATTCGAATTTGAATTTGACATGCCACTAACTTGCCTATTAAAAATCATAAATAGAGGACAAAGGGATTTGGACCCTAGTCATTTGTTTGCAACAACTATAAGTCCACCACTATGCCATACCACAAGTGTTTGTTATATAAATTTGTATTTTAATTCTTAATTAAATTTGTTTGTTAGTGGATGACTACCAATAAAAGCTAAAATTTATCATTAAAATATATAATAAATATCAATGTTTAGAAAACCGGGCTGGACATCAACCCAGAAAAGGGAGAGGTTAATAGGTTAGAGGTTCAACCGAGGTCAAATTGTGATGACATAATTTATTATATATATTATAATATATATATTATACATATATACAATATTATAAATTATATATTGGATTCTAATATATTCAAATTATATAATTGTATTCTTTTATAATATATATTTTTTATTTTAATTTCAATTTTTTTATAAGGCACCTATATCGAAAAGTTACCCAAAATAAAAACTAAGGTAACCACAATTGGACATCTGAGCAAAAAGTTATGGCCTTTAGAAGTTTGCATTAATGTGCTAAAACAATTTAAAAAATCAGTTGTTTTTCTAAAATCAAGACTGATTCACTAGTTTTCGAGTTTGACTAGTCGGGTTGGCAATTTTGGCAAAATTTTAACCCAATCTAGTCATGGTCCAACCGGCCCAAAAGGCCAATCAGTCCTATTTTCTAAAAAATGGTAAATATTAATACAAATTATATTGATTCTTTAAATACTATGGTATGTATGCATACACAAACATTTTAAATCTTTCATCATTTTTCAACAGTTTCCAATTATGTTTCAATATTTCACACTTTGTATAAATCATTGAAATATTGATTTTTATGTTTAAATAGCTTATTTATTGTGATATAAAACTCATTTATTGTAATTAACATAGGTTTTTAGGATTTATATGAGTTTCTTAGTGTTTCCATGCGAATCTCGATACGTCTCTTAAAATTGTCTCTCCGATACACATTGCGTTTCCGATACTTTAAACCTTGGGCCTATCATCGTCTCCGTTGGAATTGGATGAAGCCATGAAGGAAATGTAGGGCTTGTGAAAGAAAACAAGCCCTTAACAAAGGTAACTGAGGTTTCATTGAAGGACAAGGAAGGATTTGTTTGGTACAAACACAATATTCTTACAAGGAGAAAGAGTTGTCTCCAAAAGAAAGGCATGAAGGAAATCACTTGGGACAGAATGTGAAGGTTTCAGAGGGTTGACATAGTGAAGGGAACAGCCTATTTGTGGAAGATATAAACAACAGGGAAGGCTCAAGTGATTGAAGGCAGCAACAAGATAATAGTGAAGGTAATGAAAGCATTTAGGATGTTGGAAGAAAAGTTTGGGGTGCCTTTGAAGGGTAGGGAGAAAGACACTTTGATCCCAGACAAGGCTATTGAAAGCATAAGAAATGTGGTGGTGAAAGATAATGGGAATTCACCTAAATCTGAAGGGGTTGGTTTGGAGGGAGAAGAGTTGGTAGCAGACCAAAATTTTGAGAAAAATGTGGTCTTAGAGTTAGAAAGGATCGCTAACTTCAAGGCTTTGAAGGATAATGTGATCATTCCTAATGCAGTGAGAAGGTTCATATCGCAGAAGAATAATCAGATAGTTCAGCTGTCAGTTTTCACCGGATTGAAGGGAAGCTTGTTTGGGGTTGAGCAAGGAAGGCAAAAAGCATGTAAGGGAAGTACAGAGATCCCTGTTACAGCTATTGCAGATGCAAAGTAATTGGGCAATGAGAAGGAAGGAGAAGAACCCCTATCTTAGTGATAAAAAATAAACAACAAAAGAAGTTCAGCACCAAAATCCCCCTATTTAAAGGGAAAAAGATAAACCAAAAGGAGAGGAACAGAGCCCCTCGTTTAGAAGAAGAATGACAACAGAAGGAAGGACTAAAAAATAAGTTAAAGGTGTTATATTAATAATGGTATAGTGCAGTAAATGTAACTTAATACCATAAGGCATCCAGTATTAAAATAGTGTGAAGTATCCACCTAGTCATTTTGGATGCCTAGGTGGCTGCCTTGTTTTTTTTTTTATAAATGATATTAAGGGGTGTTGTGAGAATCGAACTCACGACCTCTTGCCTAGGTGGTTGTTTAAACGGTTAGGTGAGTGCCGCCTTGTACAAAATCGTTGTGGCAACACTTTGAGGTGACCATAGAAAACTAAGGAATCCGTGTAACACTGGTTTATTAATATGGTGCTTTGTTACTCATTTTTGTCAATGAAAAAGCATGGACAAAGTGTTGGACATGGCAATTAATTAAAAAATTCAAGTGTCTGAACACTGAGAAGGAAACCCATTTTGAAGTATGTGTGATTTTGCACTTATCTTTGTTTATTGTAGTCTTGTAGCAAAATTGGCATGCCAATTGTTTGCTTACCTTTGTTTTATGTTTGTTTAATAGGAAAGTCTCACTGATGGAATGAATTTTTGTTTTGTTATTCACGACTGTTTTATAACAGTTAGTCATTAAACTGTTAATGTCTACTTGGTGATGCAGGAGATAACCAGTTGAGAAAAAGTGAAATGTGGAATGTAGTTCTCATCATTTACTTTATTTAATGGTTATCACTTATTGGGTTAATCTTAGTTCCTAATGAGGTTAATGTGACTCTTAATCCTGAAGTTCAAAATTATTTGATTTCTTAGTGTTTCAATTGATAGTATAAGTTGGATATTGTTTATGCAATTCCTGTATATACATACAGTATCAGATAAAGTCACTCCTGAGTATCCATTGAAATAGTGACTAAAAAGTCATTCATTGCCTTGTATTTTGCAGTTCGTTCCACTTCCTTTGATCTCTGGTTTCTATATTGCTCGATTTTTTACAAAGAAGAGCTTGTCATCATATTTTGCATTTGTCCTGCTTGCAAGCCTGATGGTTATGTGGTTTGTTATGCACAACTTCTGGAATCTCAGCATTTGGTTGGCTGGCATGTCCCTGAAGTCCTTCTGTAAGTTGATAGTAGCAAATGTGATCCTAGCTATGGCTGTTCCAGGTTTTGCTCTCCTTCCTTCAAAACTTCGTCTCTTGACTGAAGTTGGGCTTATCAGCCACACTCTTCTGCTATGCTACATTGAAGATCGTCTTTTCAATTATTCTAGTATATACTATTTTGGGTTGGATGATGAGGTGATGTATCCAAGCTACATGGTTATCTTGACAACCTGTGTGGGATTGGCTGTGGTTAGGAGATTGGTTCTGGATCACCGTATTGGACCAAAGGCAGTCTGGATATTAACTTGCCTCTATTCTTCAAAGCTGGCAATGCTTTTTGTCGTATCAAAATCTGTTGTATGGGTGACAGCTGTTCTGTTGTTGGCTGTTTCTCCTCCACTGCTTCTTTACAAGTACTTAATGGAGTGTTTCACTATTATATTCCTTTACATCCTGCTTCTTTAATTCAGATGAAGTCAATTTTTTTTTTGCTTAATCCCTTTTGTCTAAATTTGCAGGGATAGATCTAAAGCAGCTTCAAAGATGAAACCTTGGCAGGGTTATGCACATGCTGGTATAGTTGCTTTTTCTGCCTGGCTTTGCAGTGAAACAATTTTTGAAGTCCTCCAATGGTGGAATGGAAGGCCTCCATCAGATGGCTTACTTTTGGGTGCCTGTATATTTTTGACGGGTTTAGCTTGCATACCTATAGTTGCCATCCACTTTTCTCATGTACAGGTATAAACTTTACTATAATGAGCTTGCCCTTTCATGTTGTCTCTCTTTCCTTCTAACTTGAGATTTGACAAGGCAAATAATTTACAACTTCTTTCTAGTGTTTCGTATGGCTAGATCAGAATATATGTGAGATTAGGTACTTGATGCAATAGGGTTTGTGGTGGATGGTTTGGATGGATTGAGTTCCTTAGTGTGGATTACAGAGCAGGGAGGACTTTAGGATTGCAACCATGATATCTAGAGATGATTTGTGGATGTTCCTATGGTATATCTCTTTCTTTCGTGTCAGATTGGGTATGGGTCTGTTTGATAACAATATAAATAGTTGAACTAAATGACCTATCGCTTCGTCACTTAGTGAATCAATTATCGAGGAGGCCGTGATCTCCTTAATTATTGAAACTGAAGTTGGATTAATTACTCTACCCTCAAATATTTTATTATTTAATTATTAATTATTTTATCCATCAATAAGTCACTTGGTTCAGCCATTTAAGCCATTATCAAATGGTCCCTGATGCTAAGGCAGTAGAAAATCAAGAAAATAGCAAGAAAAACCTAGGAATGAAGAAAATTCAAGAAAGTTAACGACTGTGAGAAGCACTCAAGATAAAATGCAACTAGGTTAAGTTATGAGTCAAATGAGATTTGATAACCTTCCAAAAAAAGAAAGAATGTAATAAATGAGAGAGAATATAGACAAATAAAAGAATAAGCAATAGAGAAAATATTACTAAAACTAGAATTTATGGTTTTAGGGTTTGAGAGTTTAGGGAACGTCAATATTGGAACCAAATAAACTTGGCAAGGTTCAATCCATTAATTTTCTTTTTTAAAATTCAATTACCAATGCCTATTTATACACTGACTAGGAGGACTATGGGCTCCCTTCACAGACTCCAATTTAGGTACAGAAACTGACCAGAAATGTCTCCCAATTTAGAAAACCCTGACGTCTTCCTCTTTCATTTATTATAATTCATGATCTTTGTTATCTTTGGTACATGGTAAGATGCTTCACAAGACTTCAAATAAAAAAAAAAAAAAAAAAAATCAACACTTTTGGTTATAAGACACAGCATTTGTTCACAACTGCTCCTGTTTTGTCATCTTTCATTCTTTGCAACTTACCAATTCATGTGGGGTTGATCTAACAAAAAATGTTTTTCTTATCTTTGTGCAGTTGGCCAAGAGATGCCTTGTTCTGGTGGTGGCAATGGGTCTGCTGTTTATCCTAATGCAGCCTCCAATTCCATTGTCATGGGCTTTGCATTCAGAGTCGATCAAAGCAGCTCACCATTCTACTGATGACGTCTCAATCTATGGTTTTGTGGCATCAAAGCCTACATGGCCATCATGGCTGCTCATGACAGCAATCCTCCTCACTCTTGCAGCAGTCACCTCTATTATTCCTATCAAGTACATTGTTGAGCTGAGGGCATTCTATGCTGTTGGTGTGGGGATTGCTCTGGGTGTCTATATATCTGCTGAATACTTCCTGCAAGCAACAATTCTCCACACCCTCATTGTTGTATCTGTGGTTTGCACCTCCGTCTTTGTGGTCTTCACTCATCTCCCATCTGCTTCAAGCCCAAAACTCCTGCCATGGGTGTTTGCTCTATTGGTGGCACTCTTCCCAGTTACCTACCTACTGGAAGGACAGGTAAGAGCTGGAAACTTCTTTCCAGAAGGTGGAACTGGAGAGGAAGATGGTAAGCTTACTATGCTATTGGCGGTTGAAGGAGCAAGGACTTCATTGCTGGGATTGTATGCTGCGATCTTTATGCTTATTGCATTAGAGATAAAGTTCGAGCTGGCCTCATTGATGCATGAGAAGGCCCATGACAGAGGAGGCATGCACAATCAGTCTGGCCGAAGTAGTTCTGCTGGTTTTCCTCCAAAACTGAGGCTCATGCAGCAGCGGAGAGTGGCAGCTGTGCCAACCTTCACAGTCAAGAGGTTGGCAGCTGAGGGGGCTTGGATGCCAGCTGTGGGTAATGTAGCCACTGTCATATGTTTTGCCATCTGTTTGATACTTAATATCAAGCTCACTGGCGGATCAGATCGAGCAGTATTCTTCCTGGCACCTATCCTGCTCCTACTCAACCAGGATTCAGACATTGTTGCGGGGTTCAGTGACAGGCAAAGATATTTCCCAGTTACTTTTGTCATCTCAGTCTACTTGGTACTGACTTCTCTTTATAGGATTTGGGAGGAAGTCTGGAATGGAAATGCTGGGTGGGGCCTGGAAATTGGAGGGCCAGACTGGTTTTTTGCAGTCAAGAATGCGGCTCTCCTCATCCTTACCTTCCCTAGCCATATCCTTTTCAACCGGTTTGTATGGAGCTACAGAAAGCAGGTAGACTCCATGCAGTTGCTTACACTTCCTCTCAACATACCATCCGTTGTTATAACTGATGTTATCAAGGTGAAGATACTGGGTTTATTAGGAATCATATATTCCCTGGCTCAGTATCTAATCTCTAGACAACTCCATATTAGCGGATTGAAGTATATTTAAATGATAGACATACATTCTGTAACTTATGTTCGGGCAATTTTTCATGTGAGCTGCAAAAATTTCTTCTTCCTGTTCTCTTAGTAACTACATTTCTGTGTCCAAGGACAAGGACTGTACATGGGCCTGGAGCCTCCACAACTCGTCGCTTGTTGAGCATCGATATGCAAATACCGGACTCCAATGGGACCTACACCTACTTGATGTTTGACCGTTACCTTCTGATTTTACTGTATTTGACTGGTCGGTGAAGGGCTGGAGAAGACTCGAGAAGTAAAAAGAGAAGGCAGCGTTAACAATTTACAAATAATGCTCAAGGCAGATCAGATGGTTTAAGGCTTAAATCAAATCTGATTAGGCTAATTTTGGGAAATGGGAATAGCCATTGTTTTAGTTGCAACCCATTCAATTCAATGGTGAGGCCGAATCAATGATATTTGTTATATGGGACAGAATTTTGCCACCCCATCACCCAACTCCCAAAACGTTTCTTGGAGGAGTTCACAACTAGGGCTGTTCATAAGAAGACCCAAACCGACCAAACCAACCAACCTGGTCCGACCCAACTCGAGTTGTCTGGGTTTTCTTTATTCATTGGTCGGCTTTGGGTTATTAAAAAGTATAAATCGATGGGTCGGTACATGAAAATCGAAACCGAATTGACTTGGTTCCTAGTTAGTACTTATTAGTTAGTACCTAATTTAGTTTCTACTTTCTAGTTACTGTGAAAATCGAAACCGAATTGACTTAGTTCCTAGTTAGTACTTATTAGTTAGTACTTAACTTAGTTTCTACTTTCTAGTTATTTATAGTTTTTATTTTTTAGTCTTCTCTTTAGGAATGCCATTAATGGCAAGCATTGCAAGACGAAATGTCATTAATATCTTTTTGCATTTTTTTGGAAGGTTTAAAGAAAGGATCATATTCTCTAAAGTCCTTTACACAAAATAGGTAATTACAATTAGGTGTATTTTTTATTAAGATTAGAAGCCTTCTTAAAAATTTCAAATTTCAGTTTTCTTTTTCTAACACAATTTGACTTTCTCTTTTCTTGTTAATTTCTAACTTAGTCCGCCCTTACTCCTTTAGCCCCTCAATTCAAGCACTCAAACCGACCAGATCGGTTTTGCCTAACACAGGGTCGGTTTTGGTTTCATTTTTAGACAACCCGACCAGATCGGGTCAGTTGGAAAAACAACAATAAACCAACCCAACCTGACCGGTGAACAACCCTATTCACAACTTTTAAGGCCTAATTATGACTTACATCATAGGGAGATGTTCCCAATACGAGGTGGGGATGTGCTCTAGTGGGGTATATATGTGCTTGGGTTCTCTCCCTTTAACAGTTGGTTTTTAGGGGTGAGTTCTCCCAAGGCAGTAAGACACATAACAATCATCAAAGATTCAAAGGGGGACTGGTCTCACACATCAAACAGAGATATCTATCAAGACCAAGACCATAATGTACTTCGTGATGAAGCTCGTCAAAGGCGGTGACCTTTTCTCCAAGTTGCCAAGGGTTGTCTCAACATAGACGTTAGTCGTGCTTACCTCCAGCAATTGATATCCACCGTCGGGTATTGCCACTCTCATGGAGTCTTTCATCGAGACCTGAAATTAGAGAATCTCCTACTGGATGATAATGGCAATCTCAAAGTTTCGCACTTCAGCCTCAGCGCTGTGACAGACCAGATTCGAATGACCCCATTCTCCGACGAAATGGTTGCCCGGAAACAGCTGAGTGTAACAGAGTATCGGATAAAGATAATGACAATGCAGTGGCTATTTGACCATTGCAGCGGCTGAGAAGAGGAGTGAGCAAGGACTTTTATACCAAAGATGGAGTTTCACATTGATTTTATTGGTGGAAAACAACTCAAGCAAACGCAGGCAAAATCAAAACCAGGTGTAAAATTTACTCCGGTTATCATTTATACCCAAAGGCCAAAATAAACTCAACCTAAAAAATATAATAAAAGATTCAATCGTCTGAGCTGCCAATCAGTTGACTTGAAATCAGAACTGAGTCAACCTATCTACTTAGATTGTATCAAAAAAGAGAATGGCATTAAAGTTGGTGGAGGTTAGAACTAAACGACAGTAATGTAGCTTCTCTCTCTCTCTCTCTCATCCCATGTCTTCAAATCTCCATTGCTTGTAAACCGGCTCAAGATATAGTAGTGTCTCTAATGATTTGTGTGTTTACTGTCAGTCGATCTTTCGGACTTTTCACCTTGAATGAAATCGGTGTTAATGTAGCATCGACAACCTAACAGAGAAAACTGGGGCATTGCTCAGAGAAGTAAATATCGTCTGTCTTTCAGTTTCTTAAAAGCGTGATTTACAGACTGATGTATTCGTTGTTCTTATGCACTTGATATAGACATTTTCAAGCTTCACAGAGGCTGATGACAGAGAATGTTTCAATCCTGTGTAATAACGGTGTGCCTCAAATCAACGTTTTAAAAAGGACCCGGAAACGGAACCGTTCTGGGCACCGGTTTCTGGGTCAACTGTCTGATCATCTGGCTCGTTCTAACAGTAAAATTAAAAAAATAAAAAAAAATGGTCAAAATTGTTGAATGGATCGACGGTTCGATCGCCCGGGTCAATGATTTATTGACTTTTTCAACAGTTTTTTATCAGATTTTGGGTTTTGGGTAAAACAGAACCGGTTGATTGTCTGGATGGTTCCCGGGTCGAACGATCCGACCGTCCGGGTCAACAGCAGTTGGAAAATGTTGCCTCAAATGATGATTTCAATGCTACTAAAGGCAAAACCTTGAACGCTTTGTGATCACCCATGAGATGTTCAAACAGGACCAGAGGAATGAACTTGAATTCAATCTTTTAGGGTAGGGCTTTGAGAAAAAAAGAGGTGTTATTCATTCACATGTTTAGGTTTGGGACTCATGCATGGAGACTCTCTCCCTGGATGACCTGCCAACGAAACACGTGCCAAACCTCTACCAACATAATCTCACGCTGCATATTTCATACATGGCGGGTCCCTAGTCTCATTGTAAGATGTGTGGTGTTTGTTCAAATTGGAAGAGGGTTGGAGCATGTTTTGTTGGCAGAAGACCTCAACTCCTGGATGGGAGGGCATTGAGTCTGTTTAATTGGACTCTGGATCTTCTGCCCACAAGAACTCTACTTATGTCTATCCACAACACACTACCCCCATACCCCATACAACATATTATGTAAGAAGATAAAAATTCTTCGTGTATGTCTGCAATGTTATAGATGTGGACAGAATACTTGTGGGCAGGTAAAAACTAATGTTTGGTTTGAAAGCAAAGATGGGATTTGCATAGATTTCCCTTCCTTTCCTTTAAATTAAACACGGCCCAATTACTTTTGTGAGGAAATTTTTAAAGCTAAATTTGGAAGAATGAGTCCAAATGCATTTTGAAATTTTCTTGGCACATTACATCAAAAGTTCAACTATGGTGCATTTTGATATATTTAGAGGCCAAAAATCTGTTTTCTTTACTGGGTAACAGGCGTAACACCGACTTTGGGAAGTCAAATCCCCAAAAGCCAAATTCCTGTCCAAAAGTTGGAAGCCCAAAAAATAGAAATTGGACTTTTGGCTTTGGGCTTTTTCCGCAATTTGACTTCGGGAGTACCTAAAAACACTCTTGACACTCTCCACTCTCTATCGAAGCGGTCAACCTTATCTTGTCTTCAATTTTCTTCTTCTTAAACCCCCATTTACCTATCTTCAAAGCTAATATTTTTTTGCTTAGTTTTGTGCACCACTTTGAATGTGATTAAAACCCTTTGAATGTTAATCCCCCTATTTGATCTAATCCTTGTTTGATTTATGTACCCCTTCGAATGCATATATAATCCTTTTATTGTGAATAAGAAATATGATCATGAACAATCGATTGATGTATATCGCATATCTTGAACAATCAATTGATGTATGTTGAAGCCAGAAAATGGTTTGGTGTTACCAAACACTCGTTTTAGGCTTTTATTTCGAAAAGCATGCTTCTTAAGTAGATTCTATCAAGCAGGTTCCAAAACCGAAAGTCCAAAGTAGAAAGTTGAAAACTAGCTTTCTACTTTGGACTTCGAAAAGTTCAAAAGGCAAATCTTATCCAAACACCACTTTACTTTTTATTGATTTGGGTTTTCACAAGTTGTATTTATCATTAAAGATTATAACAACATTAAAGATGCTACTATGAGGAGTCTTTATCATTCATTCTTCATGTTTCATCATAGATTTTTGGGAAAATTCCCGATTATTATCGTGTACTTTGGGCTTAGTGCCACTTTGGTCCCCAAACTTTAAAATGCGACAATTTAGTATCCAAACTTTCAAAACCTGACAATCCAGTACCTACTGTTAGTTGTTAAGTGGCGTTTTAAAAAAAATACAAATGCCCCTTTAGTGTCATCTAATTTTTTTTTACCAACCATCCAAACATTGACAAAAAATTAATAGTCTCAAATCTTTGCCTCTTCTATTTAAGAAAGTTGCTTTTAGAAAAAGCAAGGATTTGTGACTATTAATTTTTTGTCAATGTTTAGATGGTTAATAAAAAAAATTGGATAACACTTGAAAGGTATTTGTGTCTTTTTCAAATATCGCTTAACCACTAATTAATACCTAGTTAACAACATGATTGGATTGCCACGTTTTAAAAGTTTGGGCATTAAATTGTCGCATTCTAAAGTTCGGGGACCAAAGTGGCACTAGGCTCAAACTATAGGGTACTAATCGGGAATTTTCCCTAGATTTTTCATAAAATCTTTTTAGCCATATCATTTTTCAGGCTTAAAACAGAAAATAATTTTAAAAATAAGATAAATTATAGACCACCACTATGTACTTTGGGGGTAATGACACTTAGCCCCTTAGAATTTTATTTACAACAAAAGACCCATCCTAAAATTTTAGATTCCAACACTATTAATTGGCTTGACAGTAAAAGTAAAATTATGAAAATATCCATTCAAAGTTTTGTAATTTTTTATTATTTTTTCTTTACTTTCCTATTTTTCTTTGTATGCAATCTTATATATTTTTGTTATATTTTTAATTCTCTTTTTTGTTGTTTTTTTGCAATTGTTAGTGTTTTTCTGTATTTCCTCTATTTCTTTGTTATAATTTTGTTTTTTGTATTTCTTTTTTTTTCACTTTTGTTATATTTTCTATATTTTTCCAGTGTTTTAAGACTCAACCTGGTTCAAATGGTCTCTGATGGTCTTTTTTGGTTCGGTTAAATGATGGTTTTGGCAGTTTTTACGAGTTGAATGGACAAACCGCTCGATTAACAAGTAAAACCAGTACCTGTTGGGCATTCCAATTGTTATTCTGATTCGAGCCTTAAAACATTAATATTTTTTACAACTTCTTACTTTTTTTTTATTTTTTATTTTTTATTTTTTATTGTATCTTATCAATCTTGTAAAAACTGATCTCCTAAAAATGATGTACCCAGTTTGGGGTTTAAAAAATGTTTGAACATACTTATAACAATCACCATTAACAAAAATCTTTCTATGAGATTAATTAGCGATACTAACGGAAATAAAGTGATAGAATTGAAAGTTTAGGGTGGGTCTATCGCAAATGAAAAAAAAGTTTGGGGAGTTAAAATATGATTACTCTAAATGGCAGTCCGCAATTGAAGAATGATTGAAAAGCCAAGAGTTCCGATCTCCTGTCAATGAAAAACGTTTCAACACCTTAAGTACGTTATTTGACACTACACATCTCGTCATGCACTCCCATCTATTTACCCACAAATTGCTCCCACATCTCACATCTCTGTTCATAGAACACCATTGTCGTGTATTAGGGATATCTCCCCATGAATAGTAAAAGAGATATTCTCATTACACAAGTGTAATGTCCCGTGGAGAAGGATGTGGGAATAACTTGTGGGTAATAGATCTAAGCCTCTCATCATGATACTGGGACCCACCAAGTTGGTAGGGTGTTGAAATGGGAGATCTCAATTTCTTGTTATATATGAAATCAGATTTGATCCTCACAATATTGTGCTTATACTGTTTGTAGAATCCCTTGCATTGGGAATATCTCTCCGTAAAAAATATAAATTATAAAGACCCTCTATATTTTATTTTTGCAACATAGGCCCCCTAAACTTTGGCCATTAGACAAAGAATCCCTCCCGTTAGTGTTCTGTCGATTATCCTCAAAAAAGATTCTCAATTAACTATCTAAATTACCCTTTTCTTATTTAGGAGAACGGTGACCGACGTATCAATACAAATCCAGTAACACTGTTGATTGCTAGATTTTGAGCAATGGGGAATTAATGAAGGAGAGAGATTCTAAAGCATTTCCTCCAATAGAAACCCTGAATCTCCTTCCTCCTCTTTAAACGACGATTCACTTATGTCTTCCATTGCTAAGAGACTCTGATTCCTAGTTTGTTTCAACATTTTCTTGCCTTTTGCTCTCTTTTTTTTTTTTATCTTCCTTCTGAAAATTTGTCGCATCTTTCCCTAGATGCTGAGAAGCCAAACTCAGGCCAGATTTTTAGAAATTCCCCTAGACTCCTAGAGTGAGATTGGTGAAACAGATAAGATCTGCTTGTGATAACCCATTCACCCTCGACCATCCACTAGCAAGGGTTGGATGGATCCCAATCTGCTGAACATCAATAGTAATCAATAGTATGAGATGCTTTTATGGAATATATATATATATATATATATACTTGAATTCCCTCCCTCTAACAACTAACTTTTAGGAATGAATTCTCCTAAAGCACATAACAATATTCTACTACAAAGGGGCCTCCATCCATAGGAGAACTGGTTCCATGTTCCCAACTGCTTCGTTGGTCGGAATGGGAATCTATCTTCTGATTATTATCCACCTTCGATCCATGTTGCCTTTATCAGTTCACCCGAACCCTAACCTAATGGCAGGTTGACCATGGTTGCCGCAAATGCGGACTCCTAATTATGTTCTCCACTCAATTCTCCCTTAATCCCAAACTATTTGGTGCGTGTCAGCTTCACAAATCCTGCTCCGCATTGTGCTCTATCAACACCCACATTTTCTGTCAAATCATCATCCCAATTTACTCCGTTAAATTAGGAATTCCAATATCGGGTATGAGTGGCAACGGGGCAGGGTGGGACTCTCCCCATCCCCGTCCCTGTTCTCGTTTCCAATCCCGGCTAACGGGACAATGTTATCCCCATTCTCGTCCTTATGGGGATCCCCATATTCTGTAATTTTTTATAATGTTAATTATTTTATTTTATTTAAAAAATAAAAATAAAATAATTAAAATTTATAATCTTATTAAAAAAGATTCAAATATATCTAACCATATTTTAAAAAATATTAATATAATATATATATATATATATATATATATATATATATATATATATTAGTATGAATCCCATGGGACGAGAATCGAGATCCCCATAGGGCGAAGAGTGTTCTCCCCATCCCTGCCCCATCCTAGCTAATGGGGAGGAAAATTTCCCCATCCCCACCCCATTTGGGGCTGATCCCCACAGAGATTAGAGAAATAGGAAAAATTGTCATCCCTATATGGAAGAGTATTTTTACTAATTTTTTTATTGATTTTGGTGAACTTGAGTTTTTTTTCCCTCTTCCCTCTAGGATTGCATTTAAACTCTTGTTCATTTCTAGTTTCTTAATTATTGTGCGATGATTTCAGTAGATTTGATCAAACCCCATGTCAATCCGCTCTCTTTTGAGCATTAACTCCTTGTTACTATGTATTGCAAGAGTTCAATTCAACCCCACAATGTCCCACAGCACACCCCGCCGTGTATTGGGAACATCCCTCGATGATGATATTATCACCGGGAGATGTTCCCAAGACATGATGGGGATGTGATATGGAACGTTGTGGGGGGCTGATTTGATCTCGTACTACAACATCGTGGAGATAATCTTCAAATCTAACTGGCTCGAGAAAGATAATCCACTATGTAAGATCGAACAGATATTAAATGTCTAATGTGATCGGATTTTTTTAATATTTTGAACTTGGTGGGCGGTGAATAGTTTAAGAATTATTAGATTGGATTGATCATTTATGCTATCTTTGGTTTGAAGGAAAAGATAGGAAAATCTTTACAAACCTTGTAATTGCTTTCCTTTCCCTATCTTTTTCTTCAAACCAAACATGACCTTTAGAGAAAAAGTTTTCTAAGAGAAAGAGCAATGGAAGAAAAAATATAGAAAGTTTAGTTTTGATGGGTAGTTTGGTAATTTAGCGTATTCATTATACATCCCTGCTGAAACTTGAACCACTTCTACTTTCAATCCTCTGAGTTTCGATCGTGATTCGTGAAGCACCACCACGTCAGTTTCTATATATGGTCCCCAGACTCCCCACATATTACATAATACATGGTGACGTGGGGTATTATGAACGAGTCGTTTCGAGAACCGTCTACCATAATATATGGAAATGAGGACTGTGGTTCGAGCTCTGACTCTGAGGAGGGGCAGTTTCGAGAGTCTATTTTAATTTTTGGGGAAAGGAAAATTGAGGGGTTCGCGCATCTTCTCCATTTTGTGCGTCGAGTGCAAAGAGCTTGAACAAGAACAAGCTTCTTTCTCGCATCTCTTCGAGGTAAAACTAAATTTAGATTCCTTGTGACTTCCTCACTACTTTGTATATGTTTTCTTTTTCGTTCTTTGATCTGCTATAACCGCCGTGGCTGCCTTGGTTCCCAACAACGATGGCTGGCGGCTGGCCTAGTAAAAAGAATATTGTCACCGACTTGAGTTAAATATCTCAGATTTGGATTTTCTTAGATATGGTAAAAGGACTCTTATTTCTAGTTTCTACAACTTCTCAAAGCAATTCCACCCTCCTCTCCTCTATTGATGCAGACGACGGTGATTTTCATATTTCTTCTCATCCCCCGACAACATACAACATATAAAAGGACTGTATCTACTTCAAAAAATTTCTTTTAAGTAAAGGGGTCCGTTTGTTTCGTAGGAATAAGGGTCCGGAATCGAGTCATTCCGATTCCAGACGTTTAGTTGGGCGGAATCGGAATCCGATTCCCATTAATCCCCTAGCGTATGGCCATTTCCGACCCACTCCCAGGAATCGGAATCCCATTCCCGTTTCTTCAAATTAAAAAAAAAAAAAACAAAATTACATTACATTAAAGCCCTAAACCTTTTTCACTACCCGATTCCAACTTTTATACCCCTCTCTCACTCATTTTTCGTCTCTCTCCTTGCAGCTGAAGAAAAACGGATTTGGACCGAAGCTCCGGCGACGGCAAGGTAAGTCACCGTCGATTTATCTATTTCTCCTCTCCTATTCTTCTTCTTCCTCTCCTTCTCTCTCATACTCTTTTCATTCCTCCCCCGTATTTATATTGCAGACCAGACCAGACCAGACCAGACCGGGTGATTTCTTTTTGCTATTAGATTTCACACACTCTCTCTCACACTCTTTTTCGCTGCAGATCTGACTAGACCACAGCAAGGTATGTTTCCTCCATGCTAAACTGTAATTTAATCTGTACTGATGCAAAAATATGGGAGTTCAAATGATTTATTTGTAAATAGATGTTTATTTATTTATTTTATTTCAGAATGTGATTTGCACATTTAGAATTTTGAGGATGGTCTCTCTGTGGTTATGATAGGTTAAGATTTCCAACATTGATGATTATGCCGAAATTCATCATGTGCTATGATCTCCTAACTGTTGTGGAACTTCAAATTTTCAATAAGTGCAAGTTCCTCCCTCCTTTTGGGAGTCTGCCATCATTGAAACAATTGATTATGGCAAACATGAAGGAAGTGGAATATTTGGATAAGAAATTTTATGGATGCAGCAATAACAATAATAGAGGATTTCAAATGTTGGAGAAATTAATTAGATATTTGGGGTATGAGTATTTTGAAAGAATGGTGGGGAGCAGACAAGGGTGAATTTCCTCGTCTTATAGAACTTATTATTGGATATTTTCCCAAATTAAGCAAACTGTCCCCTCTCCTTCCTTCTGTTAAACGAGTACAGATTTGGAGGTGTGATAAGTTGACTTGTCTTCCAAGGTTTCCATCTGCTGCTGAATTAGATTTGAAGAAATGTAGTGGAAGTAGATTGAATTGGATGAATCAATGCCCTTCATTATCATGTTTGCCAATTGGTAATTTTGAAATTGTATCATCCTTGCCCCCATCAACATTACATGGTCTCCCCTCCTATGGCATTTCCGTCCTTGAGCCTCTTTACAGCCACAATGGTCCCATCTTGGAGACACCCTTTGTAGACAATCCCAAAGCCACCCTTTCCAAGTATATTTTTGCTACTGAAGTTGTTTGTTGCAATCTGAAGCTCCCTGAATTGGAACCTCTTCAAGTTTCCAAGGAAAACTTCCTCATGATGTTGCTCTGAAATTTTGGAAGAGATTGAACTTTTGTAAGATGAGACGACCAGCCAGTTCATATTACTGGTAATGCTATTTCAGTTTTTCTTTACTAATCATTAAACATCAAAGAATATCTGTTGGTTGTGCTTTTGCCTCCACCAAAGAAATCCCAATCCAATAATGAGCAGACAGACGCAGCCTAAGCTTGTTGACCCAAAAGCAAGGGCCACTTTGCCACTTCTTGGTCTTCCTGAAGGTTGGACACCTAGAGAAGTATAGAGAAATAGAGATCAAGACAGTTCAAGGATGGATAAGCAGAACTGTTGTGACAATGTAATGAAAACCAGGATGAACTTCTAAACTAGAACCTTAAATTTCTGAAGCATATAAGAAAAGTACTTTTATAAGGTGTGTATTAAAATTCAGAATAGGAAAAGAACAACAATCATAAAACTAAAATTAAAGATAAACCAAAAAAAGTTAAAAAGGAAAGAACTGATGACAGATTCAATCTACTGCTTCATAAATAAACAGCTTCCCAATTTTAGTGTAGGATTTAATTTTAGAAACATAAATAAACAGCTTCATAAATAAGCAGCTTCCCAAGTACACATTTACTGTAATATCAACTTGGGCACATATTCCTGCAACTCATGACATGATACCCCAGTCTCAGTACAACCGAGACTTGGTCCAGAATGCCTAAAATCAATTTTGTCCTGGCCTTTTGAAATAATTAGCCATCATCTTGCAACTTATATCACATAACTGAGTAATTAAATTTTTTCCTTTTTCATCCATAAATTGCTGACTTAGCTAACCCAAGTCATTCTCTAAAAGATCCTGAAGACTTCATCCACTTCCTCATTTTAAGCTTGGTTTAAAGTTGATTCAACCTAATCAAAATGTTTGCATGTCCAGTGGCCTAAAGCTGCAACAGGAGCTAAGCCACTAGGAGAAAGGTCTAATCCCAGTTTACCAATGCATGCATTCATTACTATTTACTAGTTTGAAGAGAAAGGTAATTTGAAGTATCTTACTCCAACTTGGACGAGTTCTTGGTGTTGATGATGAAGGGTCAAATGGAGACCGTGGAACAGATGAAGGCAATGAACCAGCTTCCAAGAACTCCATCTTAAAATTTTCAGCATATCTTACAAGATTGCTATGCTCTAAGAGCTTGCTTCGCAATTATAATACTAGTTTCTTTTTCGAACCGATTGCTATCAATTGGCAGGCCAGATTCGGTTCATGGAAGACTCAGACCCAACCCGATAAATAAATGTGTAGAGTCAGATTCGAATCAAACCATATATGGATTGGTCTATAATTAGGACTATTGGCCTGATCCAACAATATTTATAATTCATAATTATACTTTTAACCTGTAATATCCCATTTCTTTTACAGTGAAGAAGAAAAAAATAGGTACTAGGGGTATCCTTATAATATGATAATCGGTTCGAAATAATCCAGACCCAATTATAATCGGCATACATAAATACATAATACACACTCAAAGTCAAAACCTATAAATTGGGTCGGTTTGGTTTGTGCCTCGACCCAATTATAATAGTTTCTTTTTCTTTTTTGCATTGATTTACTTAGATATTTTATTTTATATTACTTTTTTTTGTCTATTAGTGACTTATCAATAGACACAAGTGTTGTTCTTGATTAGTCAAGTCAGGTGGGTCTGTGTTCCCTTCCCTCTGGCTTTCTGATTAAGGCTCGATGGTTTCCTCTTGCCATTCTCTGCCATTTTCACCATTCTCAGGGTCGAAGGTTTCTCTGCCATTTTATGCCATTCTCAAACCATCAGTGAGGTTGACGTAGGATTCAAAAGTTCAGAAGTTTCTCCGCCATTATCCTCCATTCTCAAACTCTCACGGTTCACCTCTCCCGTTCTAGTGAAGGTTTCTCAGACGTCGTTTGGTGTTTGCTATGTTCATTCTCCCTTTTGAATCCACATAAGCAGTACTTGTTCTGCACACCTGAAACTGATCCATTGATTGTTTGTGAAATCTCATATTCATTATGACATAAATCACTGTTCAATCATGCTACAGACAACTCTTTATAAGTTGACAAAAGACAAAAAAGAAAAAAGAAAAAAGAAATTCACGGAATAAGCTACAAAAGCTTCGAAAAGAAAAACACAGACCTGGAGACATACCTGTGAAAAGAATTAAGAAAATATAAGCAGAAACCGACACTCTGTTTGTCCTTCAGTCATGATGCGTCCTGTCTCTCCTCTTGTTCTTCCCTCCATGATCAGGATCAGCTGTTGGAATATCTCATGGTCATGGGTAGCCGCGCTAAAAAAATCATATATCTGCAACACTGAGTTCGATGCATAAATTGCAGAGTATGGAATGTTGCTTGAAGCAAAATGGTCTCTGCCTGCCGCTAAGCGTAACAGAGAGCTTGGAGGTTGGAACAAGAGAGACTCGGTCGTTTAGTAGTTTTGCTTGTTGTCTTCAAATCCCTTAGAAGTTGTAACCCTCAATAAGTTACAAGTAGATAATTTAAAGCCATGATTATTATCTAATGTGATTAGATACTAATCTTAGAATCAGAACAATCAAACATGTTCCTCTGCATTTATAAAAGATAATTGATCCTTCTAAAGTAGATGCTTTGAGACTTTGCTATTTTCATGAGTTTGAAATAATAAAGCTAAATAACCTCTCAACTACCATGGACTGTGGTGGACCTAATAATCCTACTGTGTTGGTATTTTGAAGTCCATTATGCCATAAACATTTACCAGAAAAGAACCCTTTTAGATGGTTACTTGTTTAAACCGTGTTTTTCCCTTTGTATTTTCAACAAAGAAGTATAAGAAGAAGTTCTTATGGTAACAATATATAAAAAAAACAAGTATAAGAAGCTATATTCCGAAATGTGCTTGGACTCAGCAAACTATCCTATTCAGAGGGAATATCGACTTGAATTGTGGAAGCTTTATCTTCTCCCACCATCAGTCATGCCCATCCCTTGATTGGTTAGATTGTTCAATTATTTAACTTTTTGGTGCTTGTATATTGATAAAGTCCAGATTGGCAGCTAAGCACAGTCTGCAGAAAATGCAGAGGGAAAATTCGAGTGATAGAGACAGAATAACATGCCAAGATTACCAGTTTTGCCAAAACTTTATCTATGTGAAGGTACATTCATTACATTCCTACTTCCCTTATCCTGTCAGCAAACTGTTGACCCCGGCGGTTGAACCGTTTGAACCGTCCAACGGTTTTTGGCCTTTTATTTATTTATTTTATTTCTTTTGTTAGAACGGGCCATCCATTCGCTTCGAACTGTCTGACCATTCGACCCAGGAACTGGACCCCTGAATGATTTGTTGTCTGATTCGGTTTTAAAAAACCTTCGTTTTCACAATTTTTTGACATACAGGTTGACCTTACCCATATCTGTCACGAGAGCGAGGCAGTTCTCTTAAAATTGTTTTTTCAGGTATATGGGTTGACCTGCCCGTATTGGTCACATGACAATCATCAGAGCGAGACAGTTCTCTTAAAATTGTTTTTGGGTATACAGGTTAACCCAACCCGTATTAGTGAAGTGAACGAGGAGATTCTCTTAAAGTTATTTTTGTGTATATGGGTTGACCTAGCCTGTATCTATCACGTGACAATCGTGAGAGAGACAATCCTTAGCTTTGTTTCATTTTTGGTGTTTTGCCCCATTTTAGTTTAACTAGTAAGCATACACGTGCTTTGCATGTGGCAATTCTAGATGATGATAATGATAGTAATAATATATCCAAATTTTTCTATAAACTTTTATGTATTTTTTTTGTTTTTATATTTTATATGACAAGAAACCAAACCAGAATGCATTGTTACATCCGTTCAACTTTTCCTCCCATGGCATGTGTCTTCCACTCACCATGTAAGAAGGAACTATTTGGGAAAGAGTATCAGTGCATTGATTTGGGCCTGCTTAGTTGCTTGATCCATAATTCCATATTTGACTTTGGGCTTGCAATTTACTGTTTCCGATGAAAACTAGTTTGGGGATGGGTTTTGAATTTCATTTTTCTGCTAAATACTTGGTTTTGGTAATGAAATTTTGCCTATGTTGATCTGCTTCTTGGGTCATAGCATAGGGCTTATTTTATATTAGTTTCTGTTAATGAAATCCAGTCTATGGGTAAGTAGAAATGATTCATCTATAGAGAGATCAGAATTCTTATGTTTTTTAAGATCTAGCAACAAAATGTACATTCTTTAGAAATATTTGAGAAGTTACCATAGAACTTAAAATCCATATAATAGAATTTTTGCACCATAAAGTGATAAAGTAGGAGCAATGATTTGTTCAATCCCTTATTACCACCAATATAGAGTAGGAATAATGATTTATTCAATTGTTGCACTACAGTTATTCAAAAGATAAAACAAAGTCTGAGTGATGAGGCATCAACCAAAAACAAAAGAAAAAAAAAAAACAGAATCCACTATAGTTAATCAAAATATGGGGCTGATTTGTTGTTTTAGGATAGTTTTGGTGCGGTATAGGACAAGGTTTAAGTGAACCTAGCCTACTTCAAGTTCAAATGTAATCTTTTAGTTTAAATGCTAAACAAATAACTGGTTCAATGGGATTTTTTTTTTGATAAAATTGATGAAATTTTATTATAGAAAGGAGAAAAATAGTTATAATAGACCCATGGAGAGGCACAAGCTGCGACCTCTCCAAACAATCAAAAACTAAAGCAGATTACAATTGCCCAAAACAACTGTTCCCTAAATGCCCCTTGCTTGGCTAAACAATCAGCCATAGCATTAGCAGATCTCCCCACCCATTGTATTCTGACATAGATTTCTTGTCAGCCACTTGAATTTTTTAAGTTCATCCTTAAAGCACCAAACCACAGTCTCTGTGTTCTGTAGCCATTTCTCTCCTTTCATAAGCACAGACAGATCACAAGGGGCAATATCCCTTTTGCTGAAAGCCTGAAAGCTTGTACCCTCCACAGAGATACCAAAGATCCAAAATCAGGGGGAATTACCCAACTCAGGCTGAATGGCTGCAGGGCATGGAACCAAAAGCCATAAGAGAAGCTGCAGTTTACTAGGAAATGCTGGATTTTTCCTCAGGCACCCCACATAGACAACACCGATTAACAATAACCATTCCTTTCCTTCTCAACAGTCAACACATCAATGGTAGGGATTTTGCCTTTAAGAGCTACTCAAAGGAAGAAAATAGTCTTTGATGGCATCTTTTGCTTCCAAATCCACACCCAAGGGGGAGATTCAGATTCCACCCAAGTCAAGATATGAAGCACTGAGTTAACAGTGAACATGCCAGATTTATTAGGTCATCAAAGCCTATCTTCAACCAGTGGCTATGGTTTGATCTGTTCTAGGAAATGCAGCATAGTTACCAAAGAATCCAGGTCCCAGTCATTCAAATTCCTTATCAGATGGGGAGTCCAAATTATTTGATTTGCACTCACCTCAAAGCAATCACAAATTTGGGCATCTCTATCTTGAGACAATGCAGAGATGGAGAGGAAGGCACTTTAAAGTGGACAGTCACCACCAATCCTTCCAAATCAAGATTCTCTCACCTGAACCTGCCTTGAAAGGAACAAACTTGAAGAAAGCACCTTTGATGTGCATGATTTCCTTCCACAAGTTTGTTCCATAGGGTTCACTAACTCGACCTGACTCCCACCCAAAACCAGCTTCCCCATTCTCGCATTTGATCAAATTCCCCATATTTGCAACCAATATTCTTTTAAACAAAAAGACAGGAAAGGAACTGAGTGGGGTAATGTGTCATCTCAGGAAGCCCCCAAACAGCCAAAGCTTTTTCCTTCAAAGTAAAAGCACTTGATTTGTTTCATATCATTCTGGACATGACCCATGTGATGTTGTTATATTTGTGGGTTAACAAAGTTTGCCTGAACTCTTGGTGTATTATAGCTGATGGATGAAGATAGTTGTAGTCCATATTACTTCTTGTATGTATTGCACCTTAAGGTATGCAGCAGTATTATCAGCAAATGGTGGCCCAGCATGACCATTGTATTGGATACTGGGTGTGGAATTTTTATAGAAAAAGGTTTTCTTACATATGGCTCATGTGATTAACGGATTACAACATTTAGGTAGAAGAAAAAGGAAGGCAAATTTCCCTCTACAAACATGTCAACGTTGAGAAGAGCCTTGCTTAGTCTTCGTCATACTCTGAACTCCAGTGCCATGCCAAGGTGGACCACTGCTTCCATCACTTCACATCTCTCAGAAACGTCTTACAGGTACAAAACTTTATAATCTTGTTCTTCTCATAGTTTCAAGTGTGAAGGTATTTTTCACCAATAATATAGGATATAACCTGTTATTTTGTTTTTCCCAACAGAAATCATGTGGGTTCAATTTCTCCTTTTTCTTCTAATATCCAATCATATGATATTGATCTTTCAAATGAAGAAAGCAAAAGACGCACCTTTAATAGGTACTTCTATCTGATCCCAGACAACCCAATTCTATTTTAATTCTTTCACAGAAGTCATACTTTGTTTTGTTATACCAAAAACAAAGTTGTATTTCGGCTTTTGAGCTTTACAGGTTGTTGTATCGAAGCCGACAACGAGGGTTTCTTGAATTGGATTTGGTGTTGGGAAGCTGGGTGGAGGAGCATATCTCCTCAATGGATGAGACTCGAATTAAAGCACTCATAGATGTTCTTGACCTGGTAATTTGGACCTATTTGCATAGCTATGTTGTTGATTGATTTTTCTTTTCAAGCTGTGTATATCACACATAAAAATGCAAACGAACATATCAAATCTGATATACCTAGATCTAAATTTGATTTTTTTAATATTCAAAAGTCAAATCATTTCCATTATATTTAGATTGGACTTAGATTTTTTTTGGTAGATATCATAAGATTGGACTTGGATTAGGTTTACATGTTAAATACCATTAATAGATTAAACCAAAGATGATATCAATAAAAAGCTAAGAATGAATTTGATATTGTACATCATGGAGAAATTGACTTCAAAATAATTTCTGTTAGACTTGAACCTAAACCGAATTTACTAATAGATGCATGTTAATTTTATGTAGATATAAGAATTGACATTTATTCATAAAAAAAAAAGAATTGACATAAATGTTTTAAGTATTGTCAGATTGGATTAGGGTAGGTTCATATTGAATCAATCCAATTAATTATAAACAAATCAAATTTGGATCAACAAAGTTTTCTTTTGAACCATTGTTTTTTTATATATTGTTGTAAAAGTTAATTTTGTTATAATTTTCTCCTTGCATCTATTCATTTATATTTTCTATTTCTGTCCTAATTCTTCAGGAGAACCCTGACCTGTGGAATTGGCTGACTGGCCAGGATCAACCACCAGAGGCAGTGAACCAAAATCCAGTGAGTATACTTTAAAGGATCAAATAATATTTGCTATGTCTCTGGTTTTTATATGTTTAATCTGTTTGTATAGGTCTTTTCATCTCTTCGTGACAAGGTTATGAACAACCTCAACAGTCACTCTGCCCCTGAGACACGAGCAATACCTGGGCAGCCATGGGTTAGAGGATGGGATGATATAAAGAAGGGACGAGACAGCCCCATATCTGGGAACCAGTAACCCTTATTACGCCCTTAAAATGGGATGCTTAAGGAGTTATTATAATGTAATTAATAAATAACGAAAGGGTATTATTTTCCCTTGGCTGAGCTTTGACTTAGAACTCTCAGGTGGAAGTAAAATGAGTTAAGGTTATAAGAAGCTGATAGACTTGACCCCTCGGGCTAAAATAATGCATCTTTCTGAATGTCTTATCATGTAATTGTAAAAATGTAATGTTTCTCTGACTAGTGAAAGATGTTGGATCTGCCAATCCAAGGTGCATGCCCCCCTTGAGTAAACTTTCCTTTATTATTCTAAAGTTGCTAAGGGCCATGTAAGTAGGTAGCGTTCGACTGCGGCAGTTTAGTTTTGGGTTCTGAAGGGTGAAATCCACCTACTTGCAGAGCGCAACAACAATAAAATACTGCAACTTGGAACAACCCAAGTTAATCCGAACATGTTACACTGGCCTGGCCAAACACTAGTTTGTGTTTGGCTAGATTGATTCGTGCTACTATCTATCCAGTGTCCACGACCACCAAAGTCTTAGACAACAATTGCAGGTATGAAAGGGTTGTATCTTGTATTATCTGAATTTACCGAATAATGCATCCCTGTCCTTTATCCTTCAACTACTTGTCCAGATCTCTTGGTCTTCACCAACTCATTCATCTGTGCTGGGGGGCCTCCACTCTCCAGCTCCAGGCGGTTGCTGTTCTGTGCATACACACATGGGCAGAATCGGTTGGTCACTCTAGTCTCTGGAGGTTTTGGGCCTGTCAGATTTCAGCCGAGACCTGGCATGGCATATGTGTAGATTAAATAAATCATGGGCGTTAAATAAAGTCAATAATGGTGAAAGTGTATTTTACATCTTTAGAAGCGAAGTGTAATGATACCATTATGGTACAGATGCTGAAATCACCAAATCATATCAAAGCAGCAAAATGTGATTGTTACTTGTTTGTTATAAATCTAAACATCACATCAATAAAAAATTTAGTATCAGACCGTAGCATGGGATTATCATGTTGGTACTAATATTGTCATACTTAACAGCCATTTGTTAATTGTTATTACATTAACCAGTAACCAGCACATAAATTATCAAAGGTCCTATTTCTTAGATACCCAAGTTTTTTTGGTGTCCAATCATAGCTTTTTCCCATTTCAAATGGATTTGAGAGAACATAATAAAAATAAAAAATAATAATAATAATAATAGTAATAGTAAAAGGAAGACATTTTTAAGTGGATAGGCATGAGATAAAAGCTAACCAATGAGGTAATTTTCAACAAACCATACCATGACTTCATTCTATATGAGGGCACTGCAGTCCGGACTCTCTGGTCTAATGGGGGTGAGGATTCCAACATCTCTTGGATGGCATATTCTAGATACCCAAGTAGATGATGGAATAAAAAAACCTTTTATTCTGAAGTGAATGCAGATGGTTTGATAATCTTCCTGATTGGGTGTTTTTTGCTGGCTTCAGTTTTCTAGCTAAGAGAACAAAGAAAAAGAAAAGAAAGAAAGATGTTGATGAAGCTGTGTGAAACAGAAAGGAACGATAACAGGATTATTCTCCTTGATGGATGGAACTTGCTAGAAGTTGGAACCATTGACATTAGACATTAGTGGTGTACCGTAGTGAGAGAGAATGCATGCATACAAGATAGAAATGTAGGTGGGTGAAAAATCTACATTTTCTATGTAACCAGACATTACACTATATATATATATATATTGGTGCTTTTCATCATGTCTCACAAGACTCCAAGTTCAACCAAATATTCTTTCTTGGGAAAGCATTGTAAGAGAGGGTCTTTCGTCCTTTTTGTGGCTGTGGGTGCTATGTTTTTATTATTTATACCCTATAAGCTATCCTATCCAGAAAAGGCCTTCTTTTGAAGTTTTGAGTTCTGACACGGAAAGCTTTTTCTTCTTCTTCTTGACTTGACTATTTAATTATTTCTCCTTTTCTTTTCTTTTTTTTTTTAAATAAAATCTTTGTCTCATTCAGTTTTTCCTTTCTTCCCCCCGTTCAATCTTCATTGACGTTAATGGGGTTGGACTGGACTTGTACAATAGGCCGTGCGTCTGCGTTATTATCAATATAAAGCTAGGGTATCTCACTCTCACATCTTATCTTTGTTCTCTTCATTAGTGCACCGTATGCCATCGTACAGTTCAAATGATGTAAAGACATGAGAAACTGAAATGAATTCATTTCCTTTTGTGGATTCAAATGCCATGAGAGACTGATCAGAAATGAATTCATTTCATCTGGCACACAAACAAGTTAATAAGTTTTCAAATATTTCAAGACAAACCACTAAGTGGCAGTGTGGCACGCCTAGTCAAAAAGAAAGAGAGAATATTATAATGATGCTAACGTAGCTAGGGGGAAGTCGAAGGTCAAAGGTGAGGAGGCTGTCACAAATAAATGATTTTTTTTTTAATCTTTGGTAACCAAGCTGTGACAAGTTATTTAAAAGTTCACAATTTAACCAATGAAATATCCCCTGACAAAATTAACGTTGGTCCCAGTTATCTGGGGTTTTGGGAGGGAGGGTGGATTGGGCCATGGGATCTGGGTGGGCCCTATATATACAGAGGACTGATTCGTTCACTCCTAATTGGTTACATAGCCGCACACCTGTGTTTTGCACCAAATCCAAACTCATGGGTTAAATCAAAATTTTACATTCAGCATATTTATTTATTTATTTATATCAAGTAATTGCTCTTAAACTTTAACCCAATACTCATGCTTATCAGTAGGGGTGGATTCGAACGAGCCAAGCAGAATAGTATTAAGTTCGAGTTTGGTTTGACTGTTTTACAAGGCTCGAGCTTATTTCGAGCCAGAACCTTGAGCTCGAGCTCGGTTCAAATAAAAAATTCATAAGTTTGAACTCGATTTTAAGAAAAAATTATTTTATAAAAATAAAAAATTGTATATAAAAAAAAATTCTATATTTCAAAAATTAAGAATTATAATAATTAATAATTGTAATATTTTTATTATATATATATTCGAGCTGGCTCGTGAGCCTCACAAGTCGAGCTCTAGTAAGCTCGAGCTCGAGCTCGACTCATTTAATAATTGAACCACTGAATTAGGCTTGAACTCGATTGAAACCGAGTCGAGCCGAGTTTTTCACTAACCGAGCTCGAACAGTTCATGAAAAGCTCAATTTGTTAGCACCCCTACTTATCAGCTTTGGACTTAACATTGATAAAATGGACTTACAAGTAGAAAAGGGTTCATATAAATATATAATTATAAGTTTATTAACATAAATCATTACAGAATGACTAGATACATCAACAAAGATTTAAATGTAACCAATTATTTGTGAGAAAAAGAAAAATAATGAAACATAACTTGAGTTTTGTGTGTGTTAGATGTATCGGGCAGGAAGTATTGAGAGAGAGAGAGTGTGTAATTTGAGTTTTGTATGTGTTAGATGTATCGGGCAGGAAGTTTTGAGAGAGAGAGAGAGAGTGTGTATATAATTACAAATAAAAAAAAAGCAAGGATACTACTGTTGCTAGCTAGGGCTTTTGTACTGTATTCCCAAAGAAAGCTTCTTCAAATCTTCATGATTCATGAAAAGTAAAGGATATTCATAACTCTTTGTCCACACCTTTTTTCTATGGGCAGGTCCAGTTGCTTCCAGGAACAAATGAAGTTTTTTATATATTTTTCTCCCCTTCTATCCATGGTAGGCAACCTAACAATGGGAATCTTGGGAAACTTGAGGTCAAAATCCAAGACCTATGCATGACTATCAACGTATCACAAGTTAAGAAAAAAAATCAGGACTCGTATTATATACATATAAGAAACCAAACTAATCTAACGTTTCATTAATTAAATAGTGGAATAAGAGACTGAAAGGACACTTAAAGGCCCCAAAGAGCAGAACCCAGATAACAGATGTCAATTATATATTCTGCTTTTGGACCAATTGATGAACCATCATAAATAATCCATCTCCCAGGCCTGGGAGCCCATTTGAGATTGTTAGGTTGGATCAATCCTTGCAATTAACGAGACGAATGAGATTGTTTATAAATTATATATGCGCGATACGTGAAATCAAAAAGTGTGACATAGACACGTCCACACCACGCTTACAGAATGCCACTATAGGTGTGGATTGGTTTAATCCACATAGTTTGTCCATAATTTAAAACAGTTACGAACTATGGTGTAAATGTGTAATGTGGATTTGTCCCTGCCACTAGGTGTGGTGTGGATTGGTATACCATACACATCACCCAAGTTCTTATCGACATTACAAAACACTCCCTTTAGATGTGGTGTGCCTGGAAAGTAGAGACTTGGGACTCATTTCCTTCATTCTTCAATGTTTTTAGGTTTGGGAAATTCTATGATACAGAAAAGATATGGTATGGGAAAAGTTTTGAACACTCAAAACCCCTGATGAATTTTGATAAATAACACCTGATTGACTACCATGTTTATGATTCCAATTTATCTTTGATGGTTTTGAATTAATCAATATTTAAAAGTCAAAACCAACAGCCTAGTCTTCTTTTGTATCTAATCTAATCTGACTCTCCTAAATCCTGATATTTTTTTAATTACTTGGTAAACTTGATATTGTTGGGGTTTGTAGTTGGTTAGAACATCGATATGTTCCTTTTTATTTTCTTATAATTTCTTTTCAGCGAGGAATCTTTCTTTCTACACAAGCTAGTTTGACAGAAAAAAAAAAGACGCCTGATATATATAGAGTTACAGACATTCAGCTGGATTCTTGGCGCTTGGTCTCTCATCTCTTGTCGCCCTTCCCAAATTGTGGTCATCTCATCTACACTTCCATGCATTTAAATTATTATATTATTTAATTACCTTCCTTAATCCATCCACAACACACACACATACAGTGATGTGATGAGAGAAATAGGTGGGTCCCTCCCATTCACATGGCTTTTGGTAATTGGTATAACCCCCATCACCCCATGTGTTATTTAATTTCATATATTTCCATCAATTTCACTGTTTTAGGGTTTTTTGGCTCTTCAATCTTCATCCATATGTGCATGGACATAGGCGCAACCAGTAGTGATGCGATGATAGACATGAAGCTTTTTTCAGTGGTGGGGACAATTTTGGTGGCTACGGTTGTCCGATTTGCCCACTCTACATCTACGAGACTACAGTGGTATTATCATATATGATGGGATTTATGTGTGGGAGAGGTGTGTACTATATCTCCATCTATCTCTTTGGGCTTGGGCCCATTACATGGAAAAGACTTATTCTATTTTTTTTTGGTGGTCCGTCCATGTGAATCGTGAAGGTTCCAAACAAGAAATCCATGGGTTCTTCGTGACAAGAAGAAACCCACTTGCATTAAAATAAATGCAGAGATGAAAACCTTCCCTGGGACTAGGACTCTGTAGGGCCACACCTCTCTTTTGTCCTTGAAAGAAAACAAAAAGTAAGAAAGATTCTAGATAATCCAACTTCTTACTTGACTTAAGTCTTAATTAATTTTTAACAGTTTTATGGATAAGACCTTAACCATCTAGTCAGGCTGTCAAGTCAACTCATTATTTTGCCCTAGTGAGGCCAGCATTCGTCTTTAATTGGTGCCATGTGTATCTCATTTGTTTCTTGTTTTTTTCTCCTTTTCAATTTGATGTGCCCTAATCTCCTTGATTCATCTTATTAGTTTCTCTTCTCTACCTTATTCCAATTCATCCCATAATTCTTCACCACCCGTTTTTCTCGTCAGTTGTCATTCATTTGGTAATTAAATTTTCATAGCTTAGATGGGATGATTCCAATGTTTCATATAATTAACCTTTTACATTCTTTTTTTTTAAGCCCAGAAAAAGCAAATTCCATCTCATAAATGCTCAGATTACAAATCCACGATAATATGCTTTCTTACTCTGGCTCAGTTTTTAAGGTCTCTCTACCTTACCTGGTTGTCAATAGTGGATGGTGAAAACTGAAAAATAGAATACTGTGCTGTGCTGATTGTGAATCCAGAAACTAACACCATTCCAATAATACAAAAGAAGAAGATTAAACAACCACAACAATCTTCTTAGGAGAAAAAACATACCAAATGACCAAAAGAATTTCAGAAGTGCAAATAGAAGGGAAAAAAAAAGTTTCTTTTTATATGGGGATATTATGAAAATATACATTGTGAGCAAAAAATGCTTTGTGATTTATCTATGAAAATATGTAAANATATATATATATATATATATATATATATATATATATATATATATGTGTGTGTGTGTTTTGTGTAAGAAAATTGGGACAAAATGGAAAGGTGTATAGTATATCTATGTCATTTTGCTTTATTTATTTATGAGCACAAAATTCACACATGAAACCTTTTCTTTTCCTGTTCTGCTCAGACTACAGACACTTGCCAATTAGTTGTGCCTGGGATGGAATTGGACATGGCATACCATGCGTTTGCCACTCTGGAAAGTAAATACTGCTTTAAATGTCTCCATTCAGAATTCAGACTTGTAGCTTTAGCCATAGGCCATAGCTAAGCCTAGTAATGACCAAACCCCGAAAACCCAACCTACTTAATCCAACCCAGTTTTCTATATTCCCACGTTAGGATGATATGGGTCATTAATGGCAGCCAGATTCGGATGAATGGACCCACACCCAGCCCATGTACCCAACCCATCTGATTCTGAGTTCTGACAACTAAGAATTAAGTCATTATTAACATTGGTAACTTGTAAGAAACTATTGGGCCTAGTGACAGTCCCAGTGCAGCGGGGCCATGCTTGCTGCACCTCACTCACTTCACTTGCACAATTCAAATACACACACATACTGACGTACAGCATTAGAGACTTAGCACAGCATTGGGGAATCACCGTCGTACAACCTGGTCTAGTTGAAGTACCTCACTGTCACTGGTGCCTTCAAGCCTAAACCAAGGATAAATTATTTATTAATACCCTAATTCTTCTTATATTAATAAATGATTAAGCATGTCAGGAGTGAATATCTAGCCACGTGGCAGTGAATCTTAGCATGTTATATAATCTATGGTTTGGCTCCATGTTTCCAAATTCCTCCCAGTGGCTACTGCTAGTTTTGTCTAGTTTAAAAAGAAATACCACATTGGGTTTTGGGGAGCAGCACGAGAATCGGCAAATAAATTGGGTTTACTGACTTAGGGGGGAAGGAATGAGAATCTATTCTATATATTTCTACACAAAGAGGACCTCATGGGACTTCGGACTCGGGAGGCAAAAAAAGGGAAACCCTAACGTGGACAATCGTTCAATAATATAATAATCCAATAAATTCATCAAGTTTTATCCAATTACCGAAATGCCCTCGTCAGCACCGCTTCAATTTCAGCGAGCAGCGACTGCCGACCAGCGCGCACTACTCTCTGTGTCCAGTGTCCACTCTACACCCAATGACCCAGCGAGAAGAAAGTAGAAACGAAGGAGGAGGAGGATAGGAATCGAGCAATAGCGTAGCATAGCACGTGAATCTCAACGTTCCAAAGTCCTCCGTCTTTTACGTCTGAGAAACTTTTGTCTGGCAATAGTAGTTAGTAGGTTTCGCTTTCTATAAAAACTAGGGAAAAATACGGAGACACACGATGCAGAATTCTGAATTCCAGCCCCCCCCCCCCCCCCCCCCYACAAAAACTACTATTAAACCCTATTAATTGATAATGCCCTTTTTTTATTATTTCAAAAAAAAAAAAACAAGGAAGAAAGAAATCGATTGCGACTGAACGTAACAGAAAAAAAAAACAAACAAATCTTAACCCTTCTGTTTTCGTTCTGCCTCGTCTCTCTGCAAAATCACTCATCAGTCTTCACTCATCGAGAACAGATATTTCATTTCTTACAGCTAAATCCCGGCCCCCGGCGGGCCTCTTCTTAACATTTCGTCTTAAACCAGCATCCGGCGCGTCGCGCAGCTCCGGACCCGAATGTCACGCCTCTGCAATGAACTTTTTCCGGCGAAAATGGCGCTTTTCATCTTTCTCCTTGTCTCACTGGAATTTTTCTTTTCGGAATCCGTCAACTCCTTGCCTACTGATGCAATGTCGCTTCTCAGCTTCAAGAGCTCTGTTTCTCTCGATCCGTTGAACCTCCTTTCCGACTGGAATCCTGCGACAAACCACTGCGATTGGTACGGAGTTCAGTGCAGTCCATTTTCTAGCAGAGTCATTGCTCTGAATCTTACGGGGAGTTTGACTACCCCTTCGAGGGAGTTGTACAATTCAACCTCAAGAGACAATAGGCTCGCGGGAACCCTGGCTCCGTCAATCGGAAACCTGACGCAACTTCGGGTGCTGTCCATTCCTTATAATGCATTCCATGGCGAGATTCCGGCCGTGATAGGAAGACTTGCGTTTCTTGAAATCCTCGAGCTTCAGGGAAATAACTTCTCCGGACGGATTCCTAACCAGATAAGAAAACTTTCGTCACTAAAATTGCTTAACTTGTCTTGCAATTTGTTTTCCGGACCGATTCCGAACAAACTGATCGGTTTCAACGGAATCAGAGCTATTGATTTATCGTATAATCAGCTCTCTGGAGGAATTAAAGTCGACCCTTCTAATAGATGCGAGAGTCTTACTCATTTGAAGCTTTCCGGTAATTTTTTGGTGGGCAAGATCCCGCCAGAGATCGGAAACTGCTCCAGTCTCAAATCTCTTTTGCTTGATGGGAACATTCTTGAAGGTCGGATTCCACCCCAGATTGGCAGGATATCGGAACTTCAGATTCTAGATGTTTCTAGAAATAGTCTCACTGGTACCATCCCGAACGAGCTAGCATCCTGCCGGAAACTGTCTATTCTTGTGCTTACGAATCTGGTTGATTTTGTGTCTGCTGATGATGACTTGGTTGATGTTACTAGAGGAGAATTCAATGCTTTTGTCGGCGAAATTCCTTCGGAGGTGTGGTTGATTCCAAACCTTGAGGTTTTCTGGGCGCCTAGAGCGAACCTTCACGGTCAATTGCCGAATTGTTGGAGCTACTCATGTAGACTGCGAGTTCTCAATCTGGCCCAGAATTATATGACCGGTATGATACCAGAAACAATGGGCATGTGTAAGAATCTGTATTTTTTGGATTTGAGTTCAAATGGCTTGCAGGGTTACCTCCACCTGCAGGTACCATGTATGGTATATTTTAATGTCAGTCGGAATTCATTATATGGATCTCTACCCAAATTTATGAGAAGTAAATGTCATGGTTTCTCCCAGATGAAACAGAAAAATACTGAGAGCAGTTCAGTGATCCATCATTGGTGGTCTCAGATAAATAATCTCTTTGGGTGGATGTTGGGCGAGAATTCTGTGGTTTTCCATGATTTTAGTTGGAACAGGTTCTTTGGTTCACTACCATCGTTTTCACTCGGAGACGAGTTACTAACAAGCAGCCCAAAATCCTCATATGGATTATTACTGAACAATAATCAGTTCAACGGATCCCTTCCTGATGAGCTTTTTTCAGCCTGTAAAGATGTACAGGATTTTACTGTGAACTTGAGCGTCAACCAGATATCAGGTGTGATTTCTCAGGGATTGCTTTTTGGTTGCTTGGAGCTAATATCATTTGAAGCAGCCTATAATCAGATTGACGGGACAATTCCTCCTAGCATTAACAAAGTACAGATGCTTCAACATCTTGACTTGAGGGGAAACAGGTTAACTGGATCTATCCCTGACCAATTAGGAAATTTGAAGGATCTGAAATGGATTCTTCTGGGTGGGAACAATTTAACAGGAGAAATCCCTGTTCAGCTTGGTCAGTTGGCTTCTCTTATGGTTTTGGATCTATCCAGAAATGCTCTTACTGGATCTATCCCTGTAAGTTTGGTAAATGCAACTAGCCTTGAAGTCATGCTGCTGGATCACAACAGACTTTCAGGGGAGATCCCTTCAGCTTTCTCAGATCTTTCTAGTCTTACTAGACTAGATGTTTCTTTCAACAACCTTTCTGGTCATATACCCCACCTTCGACACTTCAGTGACTGTGCTTGCTTCAAGGAAAATAACTTCCTACAGCCATGCCAGGATCCTTACCCAGTATACCCACAAAGACAAAGGCTTCCAATTCCAGCTCCAGTGAATAAACAGGGTGGTCCAAAGAACAAACTGAAAGTGTTGGTAATTGTAACAGTGGCTTCTGCATCCACCGTGGTCTCTATTCTCTTAGTATTGGTTGTATTCCTGGTTTTAGGAAGGAAAAAGCTTGGCAGGCTCTCCACTTTAAGAAGGAAAGTGCTCGTGACATTTACAGATACTCCAACTGCATTGAATTATGATAATGTGGTCAGAGCAACAGGGAATTTTAGCGTCCGGTACCTGATTGGTACAGGAGGCTTTGGAGCAACATACAGGGCAGAGATGGTCCCAGGTTTCCTAGTAGCAGTTAAGAGGCTTTCAATTGGCAGGCTCCAAGGTCTTCAACAGTTCGATGCGGAGATAAGAACATTAGGAAGGATTCGACACAAAAATCTTGTAACTCTTATTGGATATTACATGGGAGAAGCAGAAATGTTCCTAATTTACAATTATCTCTCAGGTGGAAATCTTGAAGCCTTCATACATGACAGATCAGAAAAGAATGTACAGTGGCCAGTGATCCACAAGATAGCTCTTCACATAGCGGAGGCATTGGCTTACCTTCATTATTCGTGTGCTCCTCGGATAGTTCACTGGGATATCAAGCCTAGCAACATTTTGCTTGATGAGAATCTTAATGCATACCTATCAGACTTTGGACTGGCAAAGCTTCTAGCGGTCTCAGAAACCCATGCAACTACAGATGTTGCCGGCACATTTGGTTATGTGGCCCCTGAGTATGCAACCACATGCAGGGTGTCTGACAAGTCAGATGTTTATAGCTTTGGTGTTGTTCTCTTAGAATTGATGTCAGGGAAGAGATCTCTTGATCCATCATTTTCAGAGTACGGGAATGGATTTAATATAGTTGCCTGGAGCAAGTTGCTGATTATGGAGGGGCGTGCTTCTGAGCTTTTCTCACTAGAGCTGTGGGAAGCAGGGCCAAAGGAGAATCTATTAGGCATATTAAGCCTGGCATCAAATTGCACAGTGGAGGCACTTTCTGTGAGACCATCAATGAAGCATGTTGTAGAGAAACTGAAGCAGTTACAGACCAACTGACAGCTGATCTTACTCTCAGTTCTGAATTGCCAGGACAGTGATAAATCATGGTTCTGATGTCCTTAAGGTCAGCTCATTAGCTTAATCATAATAACTGATGACAAATTCCCATCTTTTCTTCCCTTGATTAATCAAGGACGGTTTCATTAATATAAATTATATAAGTTCCAAATCATTGTTCACTGTCTTAGACAAGGATTTATCACTCCTAGTATACTCTTATGGAACTTATATGCTTATGAACTTATTTTAGCAAGTCAAATGTGGACTTACAACGTCAAAGTAATTTCAGAATTGTTTTACTTTTTCAAAGCTCAAACGACCAAATATGTTTGCAGTTGCATGATTGTGCCCATATAGTTCTGATAGGTTTGGATTTTGTATGACTTGGACTTGTTGTTTTGATATAGAGGTAATGGAGAGAAAAAAAAACAGTAGCTGCATTTGGTTTTGCATAAAGTTCCTGACAACCATTTTGTATAGCCATTTTACAAAAGTTCCCTAACTACTGTTACTGAGTAAAAGCATTTTATGCACCGTTCCCTGATTACTATTTTGTATACAGGCATCAACCAGATGGGCTCAGGTTGCTTGATAATGACAGTGTTCTCTCTGCATTACTGAGGGTACATACTAATTTAATTTCTTTCTTTTCTTTTCTTCCTTCTGGTTTTAGTAGTGAATCTAATGACAATGTTCATTGTGCTCCTGACATGATATCTGGTTAAGTTATTGAAGATTTTCTTTCACCTTTTGTGTGCAGAACAATCAGCAATGCATGGGCACTGCAGGGCATAAAATCTTATCTGGGTTACTGGTATTGGCACCAAAAATTTGTTGAGTACCATGCAGGTGCTCCGAGTTTGACCTTGTAAAGCTACAGAAATTTGATCCTTGGCGAAGTTGTCCTTCATGAAAATTTATCAATTACCTTGCCAATCTATGAAATCATTGCAAGTCTGATTAGGTGTCATTGTGCAATTTGAAGATTTTTAATGAGAACAAAAGGTATCACAATTTGTAGCAGTTTGAAAATCTTCAAGTGATTCCATTCTTTGTCTTCGATATACAATTGATTGCCTTAAAAAATATATATTCATACATTAGTTTTAAGTGTGGAAAATACTAATGGTTACAGTGATCAATTATCAAATCCACAGAGTTCTCTAACATGAAATGCTTGCATATAATATTTGTGCATGTATGAATATCTATTTTCATTCAGCCTCTCATCTTTAATGAGCAATCAATATGAGCACCTGCGTGCATTTATCTTTTTATTTCATAACCCCTGCATGAACATAACTGTACAGTTTTCCAACCTTATGTTCCATTCACATTTTTTTTTTCATTTTGATGACTGATGCATGTCTCCTTGTTCTTGTGGATGTGTTTGCATATGCATTAATGAATGTATTTATTATCTAAAATGTATTTACCTTACAGTTCAAGAAAATGCTTCTGTGATTTTTATCCAAGGCCTTTAAGATTATTGTCCTAATGGAAACATTGCCCTCATATTGGAGAACTGTCTGGGTATTGCAACAGGAAAAAATCTATCCCAATTTGAGATGGTGGAGGATTGGCTGGACCGCTGGATATGAGAAATTGATAATGGATCATGGATTCTGCTCATTGTATTCATGATGGTAGATTGATCATTAGCATCACAAATAAATCAGCACTCTTTTGCTGAAAGTCTCCAGAGGAGTGGTCATTATCTTACTTTAAGTGGTGGGTACCTAGATATGCTAATGAACTGGCTGATGCTCTGTCTAGAGCTGGGGTTGTAGCCTTGTAGGGGAAATTTTAGAATGGGATTGCCAAGGATCAGGCTGTAATATGTAAAAGGTTATGTGTTTCTACTGTTGTTTTTTTTCATATTATGTTGTAAAGTCCATTTTTGGGAGTCTTGATTTGTACGTATTGACCTGTTGCCTGCTTCTGTGAGCAGCAGGGTGTGAGCTTTATTATTATTTGCAAGTTTTATTGTCCCTGATTGCAAATAGTTTGATGGCTTGGGTATATGCCCTCTTTAATTATGAGGGCATTGTATGATCCTATCTTATTTTTAATAAACCTAACTTTTCAATCAAAACAATTACTGAAATGGCATCAAAGAAGAGAACCAAAAAAAATTCTTAGTTTGCATGACACTGATGATGATGATATCATGAATCCAATTATATTGGGTTGGCTACATGAATCCAATTTTTGCCATTCTGTTCTGTTCATTGCCATATCCATCTCATCATCATCCAAGCCTTATCTCAACTATATAGGGTGAGCTACATGAGTCCTGTTTTGCCGTTCTATTCTGTTTAATGTCATATTCATTGTTAAATTATTGCCACTTAAATCATGCTTACTATTATCCATGTCCTTTTTAGTCTACCCATAGCCCTTCTAGCCTCTTCAACTTGCAATAAACCACTTCTTAGGGGTGCTGTTGATGGTCTTCTATGCACGTGACCAGACTGTCTTAGTCTACTTTCTCTTATTTCATCACCTATTGGAGCTACAATGCCATATCCATCTGCAATTCAAAAATGATTACATGGCTAGCCTAAAGTTTTCTATAAACATGCACTAGATCCGTTTGTGGTCCTTTTTTTAATCAGGTCAGTAATCCTTTTTGTGTTTGCATGTACATTTTTCAAGCTTAAAGTTGTATATAGTGATCAATTGTATGCAAAAATGTATATTTTGTGTCTCTGCATATCCGTATTCTGTAAAAATGTATATTTTGTATATAGTGATCACTTGGTTTACATGTTTTACTAGTTGCCTTTTTTATTCATGCTGATCAATAGAACTTCTTTTGCTATTATTTTCCTCTTATATAGAGAGAGACTTGATATAAATTACACCCATATTGGAGCACATCCTAGTCTTGTTCTTTTATCAAGCCTGGCATTGGCCTACTACCAACAGAAATTCCCATTCATAAACCCAATGGTGGTGAATTATAGCAGGGAACCCTGGAAAACCTAACCCAATGTATTTCTTTGAATTACTAGACCGTTGTTAATCTCCCAAAAACATAAAGAATGCTGCTAATCAAACCATCAATTCCATGCTGGCACAGAGTCGTCTCCTGTAAATATCAGGGCAACATTTTAAGTGGGATTCACACAGGGTGATGGATACATGATTTCACTGATTAAACACATTTATTATATTTTTACCAATTGTATGTAATAAGAATTATAGATAAAATGCTTCCTTCTTAGTAATAAAATACAGATAGATTGCCTCGAGTGCTTTCTTGGAAACATAAAACTAATTACAATCGCCAGCACCAACAGAAGCAACGCTGTGGAGTATGGCCTATGTGTCTATCACTACCCTTACAAGTGCACGAGATGCACAATATGCAAATGCATCTTCCTCCCTCAGCTGGCCCAAAGGCGATAGAAATTAGAAATAAGAACGTTCCAGAAAACCCAAAATCAAGCACCTCAGTTAAAAGAACGCATTGCTTATTTTGTAGGGATGAAGCCTCTGCTCTGCCCATCCCTATTGTCCACTGCTGGGCTCTTCTTTGGTCCGAAACAGTAAGCTGGCGCTTGAGTTTGAGAGTCTTCCAGCACTGCACCAACCTCAAATGTCATCACATGAGTGGATATCCCTGCCAGGTATGGACACATCTAGTTAGCCAACATTACATGTATCATCAAGCATCACATCTGAGCCCCACATGCACGTTCTCGGGAGATGTGAATTCGTATCATCATAGGTAGCCTGGCTATACGTCCTATACTTTGGGGTATTCTCAGACTGACTCTCAGCTTAAGGGCCGCCTGAAGTTTCAAATGTCACTTTAGTACTTGAACTTTCAGAAATATGCATTTAAGTCCAAATCTATTAAATTAGTATTCTGAGGAGGGGTAAAATTATGAAAATGCTTATATTCTGATTCTCTTTTTTTACTATTCATCTTATTCTACAAACCAGCGACAGCTCACCCCGTATATTTATTGAGGGTAGTCTCACTTTCGGATGTTTGCTTTGCCACGTTGATTTGTGTCAGAAGTAAAAGAAAATTGAACATTGAAAAAAATAATAATAATAATAAAAAGATGGACACAGATTCTTTATCCATAAAATCCAATCCTGATATCCGGGTTAACCCAGTGTAAATATTAATATGTTCACAGGTTAACTCGGTCTCGTGACACTGCAGTGCAGTCGTGAAAGGATCAAGGATTCTCTAGTTAGTTAGTTGATCAAGCAACCGGCAACCGGTTTACCTGAGGAGCTTTCTGGTAAACGTAAATCGGGGGGTAGTCGTCACTCGTCAAAGGCGACTTACCATCATAAAAATCCCATCGAACGGGTCTCCTAGTGACAACGTCCTCGTAGTACCATATGAAATCAACCTTCTCCCACACATTGCACCAGAATCCATCCGTGTAGTCGGTGCCAAGGTAGCTGGCCCCGTCCAAGAAGTCCGGCCGAGGAATGCCCACCTCAAACTCCATCATCTCACACTTGCCTTTCCGGCCCAACGTGTAGTAGAAGGAGGTGCCGTTGTTCCACTCTATGTCGTAAAACAGCTCTCCCAGCTGTTTCTGCATTATATTCACGTTTCTCCCCTTTGGCCAGTCGTACCACAGGTCCGTTATCTGTAGGTGCCCGGTGCTCAGATTCATGTACAGTAGCGCGTGGAATCGTTCTGGCCAGGCCACGGGAACCGGTGTTGACTCGCCCGGTTGGACCGTCCCGGTCACCTGCCATAGTTGGTAATGGAAGAGAGTCAAGACAACGAGTTTATTCATTTGCCTCATGGTGACGTCTCTCTCTCTCCGGCTCCTCACTCCGGTGAATGTCCTGTCCTCCCTCTCACGGTCACAGAAGTACTTCCAGCTTTTCCCCTCCACTCCATTGCTTTTCGGAGTTAAAATAAATAAATCCTTATCATTTCATGACATTAACTTTTGTGGTAGTCTTTTTTTTTGTGGTACTCAAATGGCAGAGAGTTGGACCCTAATCCTAAGGTGCTAGGGATTGAAGACGTTCTAACCCTCTATCATCTTGATCTGACATCACATATATCTTATGTGTGGTGTAAAATCATGTTGGTAGGTCGTTGGAATGACTTTTGTTTATAAGTGATCCGGACTCGATTCAGGTGTCAGGTGTGGAGTGGAGTGTGGGATTTACATCTGTGCCCCCACAGCACATTTCAACCGTGTATTGAGAACATCTCCTAATGGCAAGTATTGGAGATGTGGTGTGAGGCTGTAGGTGAGAATTGTTGCAGATATTTTCTAATAAAAAAATCCCTTGAACCCATGCCGACTTTTATATTTTCCACCCATTTTGAGAGGGCACTGATTATTCTCGAACACATATAAATGATTATGTCGGAAGGTCGATTAAGTAAGGCAACAGGAAATCATAGGGGGTGTTTCCATAATGTATTAATTAGAGAGTACGTTTTATAAACAATAAAATTATAGGAAATGTCTGGTTAAATGATCCTCCATTGAACAAATAACAAATATAGAAAGTAGTAAATGTGTACATGTATTGCATGTGACAACTTCTAATGATATAATGATGATAAAATTTAAATTTTTTTATGTGAACTCATATAACAAAGAAAAGTAATCAGAGTATAGTGTAACCAATATCATAAAAATGATATAATAGTGATTATTTCAATTTCTAAGAACCTTGTCTAAATTATATAGGATCAGCTACATGTATCATCTTCCACCATTCATTTCTATTCAATTTTACATCAATCATTAAATTATGGGCACTTATATCATTTTTTATTACTTGCACCTAATTCTATGATTTACCCACGGCTCTTCTAGCCCCTTCAACAATAAATTGCTATTTTTTGAACAAATGCTATATATGATTTTGCATGCACATGACCAAACCATGTCAATCTACTTTTTTTAATTTCTTCCCTTTTGGAACTACTCTTAGGTTCCTTCATATGCCACTAATCAAGTGATATTCATCGGTTAAAACTTTTTTGGTATTATTATACCTTATAGCATCATAAATATGAAGAATATATATAATATTAAAGACATGTTCAAAATTTTTATAAATTTTATAGTTTATAATTTTTTATATTTTATATCTTTATTATTTATTTTATGACATCACAAATTAACTTGTTTAATTTGGAGGAAATTGCAATTGCAATTGACTTTTAAAACATTGGTTTTATCTCATGGTCAAACAAGTAAGCCTATCACCTAACAATGATTTTGAGTCAATTTACAACCAAACTACTTACTTGGTTAGCAACATGATGACCTAATTGAACCATTTGACCTACTTAGTGGTATCATGGATTTTTCTAATTTTTTGTATCCTACTTCTATCATTAATAAAAAAAATTCTTATTTGTCACACTTAATTTTAATATGTCAATATATAATATTAGACATGTGTAGAAAATTGTTCTATTATTTTTTCTATTTTTTCATAATTCTTTATTTTTAAATATTTAATCTTTAATTATGACACCATGGGTTGACCAATTTGACCCAAATGGTTGAACCACTGACCTACCACCCATATAGAAAAATGGTTTCATTTTTGGTTGATTTTAAATTTTATATTCTAATTCCATCATTAATAAATACTTCATATTTATCATATTTCTTTTTTGAGTTACCATTGCATGGCCTGGGTTTTTGCCTAGTAAATTGACCCAAAAGAATATCATACTTGCATTAAATATGATGAATTATATAATAATAGTGATGTGCCCAAAAATTTCTGCAGATTCCAGATTTCCTTTGATTTTTTATGTTTTTGCATATTTATCTATTCTTAATTTTTATTATTTAATTATAGCATTATGGGTTGATCCATTTCATTCAAATGGTTGAACTACTTACCTACCACTTAAATGAAAAAAATGGTTTCATTTATGAGTTAATTTTAAAATATAGGTTTTTATACTATGAAAAATCATTATTTATGGACTTAATTAATGAAATTTAATGATAAAAAACAAAAATGTTCTAAATATAGGATTCAATGATAGAGAATATGAGTTAATACCTTAAATATAAGACTTAATGAGTGGGAATTGAATGAACTAAATAATAGTATCGAAATTACATTTTTGCCCCCAAAATGAAGAATGTCCAAACTCAAAATGAAGGGTATTTTAGTCAATAAAATTTTCAGAAATCAATAGGAATTAACACCTTAAATATGAGATTTAATGAAAGGGAATTGAATGAATTGAATACTAGTATTGAAATTACATTTTTGCTCCCAAAATAAAGAGTGCCCAAATTCAAAATGAAGGGCATTTTAGTTAATAAAAAATCCAGAAATCTCAGGCCTCATCGGTTCTTTTTATAGTAGTATAGATAGATGTGCATATTAGAAAAATTGTTGAATTATATATTTGAGCACGTTTCACATGATTTGAACACCAGAGCCCTTGATATTCACCAAACAATATAAAAAATAAAATTGTTTGAATATTTAATTTGTTAGGTACAAATGTAAATAATCAAAGCATAAGAATGGATCTATAATTTCGAGAATTTAGGGAAAAGGATGAAACTTGTATAAAAAAATAACATCGAGTAAAATATATTATTACTAGTCATCGCCTAGTTGGTTCCATGGTAAAAGTAGTATATTTTTTACGGAAAAATACGTACAGGCCTAATGCAGATTTCTGATTCCCACTGCAAAGCTATAAACAATCAGAATATCCAAAAATCACACTCTATGCACCCATACCCACCTATGAATTGACATCAATTCCGAGTTGACACCTACTCCAAATGTACTTTGAGCCTACAAATTCTGACCTGGGGTTACCGGTCATTCTCCCTATTTTTTAAAAGGGGTTTCCAAAATAAATTTTAGTTTATTGGGTACAAATATTAATAGTTAAAAGGAAGGGAATTTTTTTTTGGATAAATTACATAATACGAATAGTTGACCTAAAAAGGGTGATGACACTTAGCCACAAAAATTCTATGGGTTGACAACAATAAATATAAAAAATGAGGTAACCATTCTAAAGAACAAATCACTTTCAAGGTGTGATGAATCAATTATTCTAAAAGCATTCTGAAGATGAACTTTATTAAAAGAAAGTTGAGAGAAATACATGAGACTTAAGATTTTAGAACAATTAAATTTAAAAAGATAAAATGGTCTAATAAAATAGGGTAAATTACAAAGACCCCCTTGTATTAAGGGGTCAGTGATAAAGTCCCCTTTGTACTTTTTTTGTGACAAAGACCCCCCTAAATTTTAGCCGTTGGACAAAGACCCCCTTCTAACGTTCTGTCAGTTAACTTTAAAAAAAAATCCATTCAACTGTTTAAAATTTTTTAAATGTCCAAACTACCCTTTTTATTACTGTTCATTGTCTTCTCCACTAAAGTTAGATGAAATGGTTACAATAAAAACAATGGTTTTGAAACATTCAAGAAATGTTCCCGGTTAAGGATTTTGATTCTATAGACAACATTATGAGAATATGTAGATTCCCAATTTCTTTTGGTATATTTTCTTGAAGATGATTTTCACCCATTACTAGCAGAGAAAGCTGAGTTGAGAAATTACCTATCGAGGGGGGAATAGTACCAGTGAGTTGGTTTGTAGCAACAGGAAAAACTTGTAGAAGGGTGGAATTTTGCAAATAGGTGATGAAATCCAATCCGTTTTTACCGTTGCTTACCAAACCATTCATCTCAAGATTCAGAATTAAAAGCTATGGAAGATTACAGAGCAGGGGAACCTGTCCCGTGAATTGGTTGGATGAGAGATCAAGTCGTTTCAGGCTTGAAGCATTGGAGAGAGATGCCGGGATTGGTCCTTGTAGCAAGTTACTACCCACAAACAAGGTATCTAGATTGGGTAAAGTAGAGAACAAATTGGATGGAAAATGACCTGAAAACTTGTTCTTGGCCAAACTCGTGATTATTAAAGAAGAAAGATTGTATAGAGAGGTGGGAATCTCACCTGAGAGATTGTTATTAGCTAAGCTTAATTGTAACAAGAAATGGAGCTGACCTAATTCATTTGGAATGAATCCCTGTAGATTGTTTGAGAGAAAGAT